ATCTGGATCATTTCCCACATGGCTTGCCAATGATTTCAGATGTATAGGTTGAAATCTGGCTTGTCCCTCTGCTGCTTCCAAGCTCTTTGGCAGAAAACCAATGAATGGATAGAGGAAAACTTCTGTATTGTTATTTTTCCATTGTATCCTTGTAACATCTAAGGCATGTATCTCACTACGTCTCTTGCCCGAGGCTAACAGTAGAAGAAATACAGTCTTTAAAGTCACCCATTTGATATCTGCCGAATTCATAGGTTCAAATGGAGGCTTTAATAGTTCATGAAGTACAAAAACCAAGTCCCATTTGGGTAAGGTAGACTTTGGAATTGCATCTTCTAATTTAAAGGATCTCAACATATCATGTATCACTTGTGATTCTGAGAGATCTTTAGATTGTGTAGATTTCCTGACATTGTTTATAGCTGTTCTGTAGCCCTCGATAGTAGAAAAAGACCTCTTTTTAGTGTTTCTGAGATAAATGAAGAAATCTGCAATCATTGGAATAGATGCCTCGATGGGATTGGTATCTCTTTCCAAACACCAAACAGAGAATAATTTCCACTTTGAATCGTAGATGGCATTGGTAGATTTTCTCCTAGACTTTTGTACTGCTTTGGACACTTCTTCAGAAAACCCCTCCCTGGTCCGCCCTGGTTGTTGATATATGCTGCTACAGTCGTGCTGTCTGTGCAAATCAGAATATTCTGTCCAGTTATCTTTTCCTTGAAGAACATCAGAGCTTTCTTGACTGTTAGTAACTCCAGAAAGTTGATGTGATGACTTGATTCCAACTGGGACCAGACTCCAGAGCATTCCTGCGATTGTGTGTGGGCCCCCCATGCTTCCAACGATGCATCTGTGTAGATTGTCATTGTTGGGTGAAATCTGTTGAGAGGCTGACCAGCTTGTAAATTCCTGGGGTCTAGCCACCATAGGAGTGCCCCCTGAGCATCTGGTGAGAGGACAACTAGATGTGACTGGGGCTGAGATAGAGGAGACCACTGTTGGAACAGACAACACTGTAGAGGTCGTAGATGAAGACGACCCAATGGCACTTGTTTCTCCGCAGATGACAACAGGCCTAGTAGAGACTGCCAAGTTTCTGCTGAGGCTATTCCCTTCTCTAGAAGATGTTGTCCAGCTTTCCATATCTTTTCTACTCGATCGTGAGGGGGACGGCAAATTCCCTTGCTGAGATCGTATTCTACTCCCACATAAGTGAACTTCTGAGTTGGTTGTAGTTCCGACTTCTTGAAGTTTATGAGGAAACCCAGAGCCTGAGCCAGTTCCAGCACCATCTGAGTATGTTGTAGAACTACTGTAGGTGAATTGCCTCGAATCAGCCAATCGTCGAGGTAATAATGAAACAGTATGCCTCTGGAGTGAAGATGAGCTGCTAGAGGCCGTAACAGATGTGTCCAAATCATCGGGGCTGATGCCAGACCAAAGGGCAGGGCTTTGAATTGAAGTACTTGGTCCTGAACAACAAAGCGCAGGTATTTCCTGAATGACTGCTTGATTGGGAGATGAAAGTAAGCATCTACGCAGTCTATGGACGTTACCCACTGTTGAGGCTGTACTGCATCCATGATCTGTGCTACTGTTTCCATCTTGAACTTTGGAACTTCTAGATGAAGGTTCAGATGATGCAAGTTGATGACTGGTCTTAGAGAGCCGGATTTTTTTGGGACGAAGAAAAGATGACTGTAAAGGCCTGGACTGGATACGTTCTGGACAACTTCTATGGCCTGTTTCTCCAGAAGTTGAGTGACTGTAGCTGCATAAAGGTCTTTTCTGTCTCTTGTTGATGACTGGAAAGGCCAAGGATTGCATGTAAGGGTAGGTTTTGTGTGAAGTTTCGGCTGGTAACCTTCCTTTATGATCTGTAGAAATCCTCCTAGATCTGTGATTTCTTTCCATTTGGCAAGAAAATGCTGTAGTCTGCCTCCCACTGGTAGCTGTTGAGGGCTTACAGGTAGCTGTGGGAGACAAAGACTTGGAGGACTGGATGATATAGGTAGATAGTCACTGTGATTTTTTCTCTCCTCTTCCCTTGCCACGAAAAGAGTTAGAGCTGTTCTTTTTACCAGGGCCATTGTTGTTATTGAAACTGGACTTTCTGTTGTTGTTGTTGTTGTCTTTCTTATTTGGTTGAGAAGACTTCTTTGATTCAGCTCTCGCATTCATCTTAGCCAAGGAAGTTAAAGCCTGGTTGGTGAGATCAGACTGGTTGGACTTCAAAATTTCAGTGACTGACTCCTGTGGGAATAATTCCTGAGCCAAAGGGTTTATGGGTAGAGTTCTGAGCATTTCCTTTGCTGCAGAAGGGCAAGTCATGTTCTTCAAGAAGCCATCTCTCCTAAGTAGAACTACGTTGGACAGCAGTCTCACATTTTGATCAGTCAGACAGCCAATGGCTTGTGCTGCAGGTTGTAGTAGATCAGACAACATCTTAGTATCAGTGGATGAAGAATCGTTGAGAATTTTGGCCACTGCACCTAACAGCCATTCTGCATATGCCAGAGGTTTCAGTTGGAATCTTAAGCCTTCCTCTAGAAGCCTATACTGGGTCTTGCTGATAGTCAAATCCTTGTCAGCTTTCTTGAAATTTTCTTCAGACATCACCGCTGACAGGCTGGAATTTGGCCTCATACTCGAAACAACAAGTCCTCCGGCTGGAGGAATTGGAAAGCGTGATGCCTTGTCGTTTCGGGAAAGTTGTCCTACTTTTTTGAAGGCGAAATCGTTCGCGATGATCGAGGATCTGTTAGAAAAACAAGTCATCACCGTGGGTGATAATGGTAAGAAAGATTTTTCATTACCTTCAGACTCGTTTTTGAAGAACTGCGATGCTTGTTTTGAAGCATTTCGTTCATCAGAACAGAAATCTTCTCCTTGAGAAAGTTGTCAGTCAGACTCATGTTGAAGTTCTGGTCTGCACTCTCTTGAATCCCTGCTTGCTCTGTGTCTCCATCAGTGCATTCTCCTTCTTCTTGCTGGAGAATGATAGCAGGACATTTCTCTGAGGTGTTCATGTAAACGTCCTCGTTGTTCATCATCTTGACGAATATAGTTGCTCCAAGTTCTGTTGAAGGCTTGTAGCGAGATGGTCGTCGAAAGGTAATATGAAGTAGGTCGTAGCATGAAGCATGGATAGGCAGTGTATTGGACGAGTTCATTCACTAATCCGTTCATTCAATAGGGGTGTTAGACCTTTCGACTAGTCAATTTATTAAGGTAATGGCATATAATTAAGAGGGAAGTAAGTGATATAAACTGGAATAATCGTAGCGTATGTAATGACTGATTTCTCTCCATGGATTGTTGTTGTGATTTCAATTGAGCGATGCATTGCAGTGAGGTTACCCCACAAAGTGAACTATTTGTGCACAAAGAGGGCTATAATAGGAGCTTTATGTCTAAGCTTTCTGATTCTCCTTACATGGAATCTACAACTTGGCTGGATAGTTGCCTACAAGGAAGATGATGACCATTTCACTGACTGTACATGGAACCCAGATTTCATCCAATATAAAAACACTTCTTTTGTATGGCAGGACTTACTAATGTTGAGCTTCATACCCTTGAGCATTGTCATAATCTGTAATACAGTAATAGTCAAAGCTGTCTTCAAACAACACAGTGAGAGAATTACAATGATGAAAGGCAACATGATGGCATCCCAAAAGAAGAAAATCAACTCAATGGCTTTGATTCTAATAGCTGTCAGTGCTGTACTTTGCATATGTACAGTGCCATTTACAGTCTTTAATGTTTGGGTCGAATCAATGGAACAAACCACTGAAAATAAGGAGTTTGCAGAAAAGTATGGTATATTCTTTGGCTGGATACTGTACCTTAACTATGCTGTCAATTTCTGGCTGTATGTATTTGCTGGGAGCAAATTCAGAAGAAGTTTGTTCATGTTGTTTGGTCATCAGAGCTATAGTACAACCTTAGACAAACATGGGCCCACCATAAGAAATGTGTCTAGCTTACAGGAACAACATAATATGACTAGTTTACAATATTGACCTAATGTGTCTTGTCCATTCCATAAGACCAGCCAGTGTCTAGTTGTAGGACCAGCCTAATGTGTTGAATTCACAAAAACAGCCTTTGTCTGTACAGTATAAACATTGAAACTTGAGTCTGACTCAACTTATATATTTCATTTGCATCATTTGATGAAATCTTTGGTCAAGAGAGTAAACCACAAGATTTTATATCTTTTATTAATGAGAAATAACAATGTACACCTATACTCATAACACAATGTTTATATAAAATTCATTGGATTTTGAAATTTGAATTAGATAATAGAAAATAAAGACATTGATAAACAAGACTTAGATAAGTTCATAACAATTAGTTCAATCAGTTATCAAACCTGGAAGACATTATAAACATGTCTGAAAATATCTAAATGAGAGGGAATGTACAACATGTAATTGTTTAGAAGATGAAGAACATTTTCTCATGAGATGTAAAAAATATGAAACATATGAAACATTAAGAAAGTTTATGCATTCAAATTTAAAAGACAAACTGCAACTGAAAACTATTCAGACATGTACACATATTTGTCTTAACTATCATGAATTTAAAATTAAGATAATAACTAGTACTATGTTAAGAATGTGCATCGCACACTGTACAATAATATTTTTTTGCTGTAGTGGCAGCTGTAGTAGTTAATTTATCATGTAACTGGTATGAATTGTCGATAAAAGATGTATCAATATACAGTAGTATAAAATTTGCGCAATCCTGGCAGAATACAAATTTAATTTCTATCCCAGAAATCAAATTATGAATTTTTTTTTACCTAAGCTGTTGAACAAGCCTATTATTGTAACACAAGAACACAAATTTTTCTGATGTGCTATGTTACCAACTGTCTCAATTTAAGAATTTTGGAATAAATCTGTGAACCTTTGGAGATTTTCTGAATTAACTCATAATCTACATTTTAAACAAGTGAGAAATATATTTCTTACCATTTCTGTATGTTTTTCTAGTACATGGAAAAACTCTTCAGTGCTCCATGGTCTCTTTGACATTGAGTTCACTACATCTACCCTCCTAGACCTATCTACCATCTGACAGTACTGGTTAAACCTCTGTAAGAAATATAATAATATGTCTCAAGTTTACTCAATAACATTCCAATATGAGTGGTACTGATGAAAGTGAGCCAATGTAATATTCAACATTAACATTACAGATTATTATATACCCAATATGTAACACTAATCCTGATTGGTCAATACCTAGTCACATGTTCCGAAATAGATTTACTATTTCCCTCGGAAAGTTATATTCCCCCAAATGTGACGTCAGCGGGAATATACATTTGAACTATTGCCCGCTGACGTCACAATTGCAAGTTCTATTACCCTTGGAAACGTCCGCGCATCATCACTGCGCAGACGAAAAACAGAAAAATGGAGGATGAGCACAAACACAAATCAACTCCGTTCACCATGACAGACGTGCGTGAACGATACAATATAAGCAACGTGTATTAAGTTCCCTAAGCTCAATACGTCTGTGTAATTTCAAGTGTTATGATAATCTATTCCGCGTGTTAAACGCGATTGAATTTGTCAAGTGAGAGTCTCAGAGGCAAAAATTTCTGTTGAGCATCTGATGACGTCACAGCTTATAATGCTAACAATGGACCCGGGGAGGGGGCTTTCTAAGCCTTTTTGGCCTTCGCAGAGGAAACGGGACAAGAGTCAGTATAGGGTATATAATAAAACAAATAGTGACTGCCTAATTTCGAGCAATAGTGTAAATTATTTGGAAATTAAAATTATTTTTACCAAGTTTTATTCAACTTTCATGCAATTTTTCATAATTTATTGAGAAATGCTAAACATAATTTTATATCTATACTCTGCGGAGATATGCTCACAGTTGGTCAATAATAAAGTTGAACGTTTCTCCAGAATAGTATGTATCATTTCCCTACCTCAGTATATTCAACTACTTGAGCAACAGCTGCATCAGTGTATGTGCATATCTCCCCCACTAGGGCTTGGTATGCTGGGTCTTCACCAAACAGGCTCTCAGTGTCAGGCCATGGTCTCATGTTCAACTTTTTCTCCTCATCTTCCTCTTCATCAAAGTTTAGCTTCAGATCATACTTTGGTGGCGAGTAGAACACGGCAAGTTTCGGCTCACGAAGCATAGATGTCACTTGACCTAGGGTACAAAGTGGCAAGAATTATTTTAACAATAACATCGCTAAATGAAATAAACTCACAAATGGAAATGAACAATGAATAACCATAAGAATATGACAAGGCATTAATATCACAAAAGTGTATCAAATGTTACAGATAAATGCAGATGTTTTTTGCTACATACCAACAGTATTTTCAAAACCAGATATGATTCCTCTAACGCTGTTTTTGATGTTGCTCTCTCCTGGCTCTAGTGTGATGTACGTGCGGTTCTGGTTATGTGCTGAGTGAGCTCTGGAAAATAAAGTATGTCTAATACAGGAAAGGAGGACTTAGATAGGTAATATGGATTATTCAATGAATTAGAAATGCAGAAAATAAATAAAACAAATCCATGTATAAACAATCCATGTATGTATGCTACTTTAATACTTCTAAATAGTTTTACTATAAAACATAATGATGATTCAAAGCTTAATAAATAACAACAGTATTCCTTGGAATAGTTAATACAGGAACAGGACACATTGAAGTCACATAGGCCAATATTGCTAGAAATAACATCATCAAAGAATAAGACTGCATTATAAGCTCCCCCAATAGACTACTTATCTTAAACTTATATGTTAAAATGCAAATAAATACAAATCATTTATTTCAAAGGTCACACAAAGAAACTCAGGTTTACAAAAATTGTAGTAAGGTACGATTTGGAGCATTGCTTCTCTATTTTTCACTTATAACTAGGATGTTTTATTTCAGTATAAGTAAAGATACTTACGAATTTGACTTAGTCGTTGAGTTAACTGGATATGCAAATCTGTTAAGTTTTTCTTGGCTCTCAGTGACAGATTCTTCATCACTCTCAGACTGTGAGCTACCATCTTCTGAATCTTCACTTTCTGTGAAAGACAACATTTTTAACATATTATCTCATAAAATTTTATTGTTATCTAAAATTTTGATATATAATATGGGTCTTGTCTTAAATCTCAGTGATATAAATTTCAATATTACAAGAAGCTTGAGTCTTATTTTTTCTATTTTCCATTTTCTACAAATTAAGTTTCACTGATCAGTGTTATACTTCCTGTTACTTCAAATAGCATAGTACATATACATGTACAGTTCTTGTAATTACATCAGTTTATTTGATGTGTAAGCGTAATACTGAAAGCATCTCAATACCTGACATTTCTGGTTCATTTGGGAACCTGACACTTTTCTTAACACCATGCCCATCACCCTCATCTTCATCTGATGTATCAGCAATATCTACTTGCATAGGTGTGCCAGGAGTGGGAGGGGGCTCACCAGCTGGTACATTCAGCACCAATTCAAGGCAGATTACAGCCTCAGGGATAACCTCAATATGCTCCATCTGCTTTATGTCATCCAAGATCTGCAAAGAATAAAAGTACTATTTAGTGGATTTTCCTTGGATCCTTAATAGTACTTCACACAACGCAAGTGAAGTGTGTGTTACATGAGGGGGGGAGCACAAGGGCTTGTAGCTAAACTAGATCCTAAATACCCTGATATTATAAAAACATTAAAGTGATCATAAGTCAAAGTTAAAATGATATAAATTCATTATAAATAGCGCATGTGCAAGTACGAAGATTCAGGCTATTTTCTCGGGCTATTTTGTAATATATAAATTCATTATTAACAGTACATGTGCACGTATCAAGTATCAAGTAATTTTGAAATATACCCTGTCAATGTCTGTAAAGCCATCCTGTGCTGTAGAAACTCTGCTCCAGTTGTACTGTGGTATCACATATGACTTTTTTTGCATCCTGAGCTTAGACTTTGCCTTGGATGTAGGGCTATCAGAATCATATTTGGAGTACCTGTACAACGCACAAGCAACAATTATCATGGAGTATTCATAGCATTCTTCAGTGGTAAAATAACATGGCTTTTTTGTTTGGAGATGCAGAAATGATCCCAAAGAATGAATTTTAAACTAACTAAAGTCAGATTAATCAGAAACTCCAATAAAACATGGAAAATATTATTCAAATTTTTAGCTCAATATACTATAGGTATAGAGGAGTATATCCAGTGATCTCCCCAGGATTTTTTCTCAGATGGGTGCAAAATTCTCATTTTCACAATTCAGACTAAAATTGGTCAAAATATGCCAATTTTTCATGATTTTTCTCATTTTCAAGTGGATGCAAATGGATTTTCAGGTGGGTGCAGGCCTATTTTCAAAATCTCAGGTGGGTGCTGCGCCCACTTGCTTTAATGCTGGGGAGACCACTGATATCTCTTCAACAACAACAAACAATTTTAATTAAATCAAAAATATTTTTAAAAATAGTTTATTACTTATTGGAGCAACTCTTAAAATGACAAAACTACAAAATCCAAAGAAATGTGTGTGGCAGTCCCAATATGTTCATTAATACTAGGGGTGGGACGGATAACCGAAATACCGAAAAACCGCGGTTCATAGCCTTCGGATCGGTTTTCGGATCACGGCACTAATTTCGGATCAGCTTTTCGGATCGTTTTCGGATTAATATTTCATTGGTCAAGTATCAATAAAACAGTTAAAAAACACTGTTTTACAGCAACATTTTTGATATTCCTAGTCCCTACCTTGTCTGTCTTGTCTGTTGGTAGCTCACTCGTTTACTAGATTTGTTTCGTATCCGCGTATTCGTATCCCTCGGTAATCAATCATGTGGTCCCTGGTACTATATTCTTTAGTCGTGTATTCTAAATAATATGTATTGTTCATGAAATACTATAACATAAAATTCCATCTATAAAATATAAATTTGCGCAAATCTTTGTATCAATTAAGCAGCTAATCATGTCAATCAATACAAATCCTTAAAATGAATGAACCGAACCGAAAAAAACCGAACCGACGGCTGATGATCCGAAAAACCGAACCGAATCGAACCGAAACGAACCGTCCCATCCCTAATTAATACCACTTAATTACATGAAAGTGGCTTTGTAATTTTGTTATAAGAAAAGAGGCTGGATGATCTTTAAGATATAAAAAAAACTGATGTAAAAAGAAAAACTTTTGATATAATCCCTTACTTGGTTCTAGAGGATTGTTTCCCAAATGGACTGTTTGGATCAACCTCAGAGTCTGTATAGTCAGAATCACTAAACTCCTCCTGAAAGAAAAAATGTTATAGTACTTTTATTTCACTAATTTTTCATGAGTAACATGGTTTTGATAATCAAAATATTATTATTTTCATGTTTTAACCAAAATGAATTTGAAGAACGAAACAAGTGATCAAGAAATTTAATTTTTCAAAATTTTCTAAAAGGACAAAATTAAAATATAACAATGTGATTTTAAGAAATTTGGATGTTCATAAGTTTTAAGAAAGAGCAACAGAAGCATCTAATCTTAATGATGACAAGAAAAATTAACTCAGTCTCTTAAGTTAAATAAAATATAAATAGAAATATCAATGGTCCACACCTCATCTTCTTCAGCCAGATTGTTGCCAGCTTCAAAGGATGCCATTATATGGTTGAGCAGGTTTTGAGAGGCAGTGACCACCAGACGTCGTAACAGTTCTAGCATCATGTAATCCACCGATTTCAGGAAGAATGACAGTCTTTCAAGAATTTTTCTCCATTCTGCTATCTGAGCATATGTTGGTCGATCTGGAAAACAATCATTTCATATGAGATATAAGTTATAGATGATTATCACTTTTATTGTGATCCGATTAAAAAAGTACCATATAGCATGTTAAAATCTAACAAATTTAGACCATGACTATGGTTCATTAAGGCCATTTTAAGATATACATTTCAATTTTTTCAATTATTTGGAGAACTAATGTATTTTTGTATATGTTATTTTATTTTGTACTAATTGTATTTTAATACAATCTACTATGTATACAATACATATAGTTTTCAAGTACAATGTAGATTAATATCTACTTTTTAGTGGAATAATCCCAGGAATTATTAATTTTAATTTAACAAGTCTGTGTAACAACATACCATATCGAATCTTCCTATCTGGTAGTTTAGGCATATCAACATGTTTTGAATTGAGATTTTTGTATTTCTTAGCCAAACTCTCAGGGTCAGGTTGTTTGAACTTGATCTTCTTTGACTTTTTATCAGCTCTGATACCATGTGTGATGCCCTCCATCTCTGCCACAGTCTGTAATCAAAAATAATAAATGTTTAGTTTGAGAAATATCAATTTTTTTATTTTTTCATAAGCTAGTTTATATAGAATATTACATACATTATCCCATATTAAGTGAATTAAAAAAGCTATAACCATCAAAACATTCTATTAGCATGACACTTACTGCACAAGATTCCCATACAAGAGCTACAATTTTATCCCTCAGTGCATTGAGTTGTTTAAGAGCATGATGTCCCTGCTCTCTCTGCATATTTAGAAACTCAGGTAGACTGAAGGTTTTCTGGCGATTCAGGTTAACAAGGGTGATGGCATCATCTCCAGCCCCTACACCTGATAAACTGCCAGAGGCGGCTTCACACATGTTTCTTATATGCATCATACAACCCTGCAGCACCTCATTGGCAGCAAACAGTTTCTTGGTCAGTATCACCCTAAAAGAGAAATCAAATAGATTTTTTCTTAAAAATAAAATTATATTCTTTTGCAGTGCACATGTTTTGTAAAAAAGCTTGATTCTTGGCAACATTGTCCATCTTCTCTGTAATTTGCATTTTCATCATATTTCAGCTGCATAATCTAAGTCTTATCAACAAAATAACAACTAAAATCCTAGCAGGTGTTAAAGCCTTCAAAAATATTTCAGGTTTGGAACTGTATTTGAAGATCTATGGTAACATCAATAGACAAAACTGAATTTCAGTAATTATCATTTTTAGGATATTTTTGATTCACAGGCCCATGGATTTGAAAACTGATCCTTTTATCATAAGTTTAGCTTGATGAGGGTAGATAATAGAATTTATCCTATGCCAAGTAGAGTTTTAGGGAGATAAGTTGGTAAGATATATCCCGTATCCTGATTTTGAGGTTTCCATATCCAGAACCTCCATACCTCCCGCCATATCTCCCGCTTCGTTGCATATCTTCCCGCTTCAGGTGCATATCTTCCCGCTTCTAGTGATGCAATAAAATAACTTTGCATATGAATGATTTGTTTATTTTTACACATTGTACTATTGAAATGGCCATATTCCCCTGAAAACTCTACTTGGTATAGGATAAAGCAGTTATGTACGGTCGGTTTGGATATTGGGTTCATTCCTCGTGAGATATGCACATCTACCTTCGGTGCCTATGGTCCCTCAGGTAGATATGCATATCTCCGTCTGGATAAACCCCATATCCAAAACCCCCAAGTACATAACCCTTATATATTGCAATTTACTTACCTACTACTGGTGTTCTTCTGGTTGCGTACATTAGCAAACCAACATCTGAAACCCTTCCAGATCCTGCAATTAAAATATAAATCATTTTTCATCATTCAGCAATCATGTGACATCATATGGCACAATTCAGGAATCATGTGACATTAAAGAGCTATCATTTATAAGACAAAAGTAATCACATGACATCAAAAAGCCATCTAGACATCATAGAGTAATTTTTCGACATCAAAAAGCAAGCACAAAATACTATAGAGCAATCGAAGAACAAATATTGAAAATAGTCCTTACCCAAACAGTGTAATATAATGGTAACTCACACAGGATGAAACTTTTGCAACATAACATCCAAATTCAAATTACTCACCTAAACTGACTAAATATTTTCATATTGAAAATCATGTAGAAAAGACGCCTTTCCCAGAGCCACTGTACAGTACTAACAGCTGTAGAGTCTTCCCCTCCTCCTGGCAGCTGTATACACTATAATATAACATAAAATATTATGATATAATAAAACAATATAATAAAGTACAATACAATACATGATTGATAATACATGATAATCAAGTATTTTCTACTTTATTTATTTTGCTTTTCATAAGCCTTATTCTGTGTGTAGGATAGATGGATGTCGCATAGACATTACATGAAATTTTGATCTTTTACCTGATCTTTTTTTACAGATTAGCTGACTCAACTCTTTTTTATAATAAAAAATCTTTGCAACTAGTCCAGTGACCAGAAATGAGCCATTTGCTACAACTGGTTTGAAAAATTAAGAGAAAGTACCTACCTTTGTAATTGTGGAGGCACTGCCTGTGAAATAGACTGGGGCTGCCCTGGCAACATGTGCTGACACAACCTCAAGGTCATAGGGATCATAGCGTGCACGTGTGTTGTTACGGTGACGTAGTAAAGCATACACAAACTGACCATCATCCTGCTGTGTATTAAGACCCTGAAATTATAAAATGTTTCTCATATGAACAATTTTTATCTTTATGCAATCTACAAATGTTTATCCAAAACAGTCAAATGCAAGATAAAATTACATAAGTATAATTGTGTATTATTTCAGAATAAAGATGCTATGTATTTTCTCCTGGACATAAAAATTAAGATTTCATTACATTTAAAGGAAATTCAACCATGGCCAAAGACCAATCAATATTGGATATGTTATGGTCCTTGTTAATGAACAACGGACAATTTTTGGTGAATAACTCCAATGTTCAAATCTGTGATCAAGATGTAGTTTAGTACCTAACTTCAAAGATCAATATTGTGAGATCATTACTTGGTCAGGCTAATCACAAGTCAGCTCAGCACAAAAACTATTTATGCATTCATTTTTTTATTGCAATAATAGCCTCCTGAACACCTAGAACAATGGATATTTATGTCACAAATAAAATCATATGGGAACTGAGAGTGAGATATATCTAGAAATATATATTTTTAAGGCCTTTTAAGTAAAAATGCTCTAACTCAATGTACATAAATTATATTTTAAAATGTATATAAAGTGGTCTTTATGTACTATTCTTAATGAAAACTGCTCTTGTTTCAAATCCCTTTTAGCCTATTTTAAAGGCTAGTACAAGAGGTTACAAAAAATCAGAATTCTGAACTTGTGTGATCAGCTTGTTTCCTCAACACAGTGAAAACACTTCATTCATTAACACTGATGAATCCCGATCTGGTTCTTTTCATTATGGATTAAGTTAATCATCTTTGATTTTAGTTTGAGAAGACACTTTTTGAAGGCCAGTTAAGAGGAAAACATATTAGTGGTATCATAGGAACAATAATTTTGTTCACGATGACACTGTTCTATACCTAAAGAGCAGCACTTAAATATCTTATTGTATTTTATAGGGCTAAAATAACAATGAAGTATCAAATAAACAAAGTCACTTTGACCCTCTCCATGGAGGTAATTCAACTCTACTATTCTACCCTGGGCTCATCATTCAGTGCACTCACCTCTGTCTATAACTGATAACTTTCCCATTTACCAATTAGAGAGCACATTGTACAGAATCATGTAATATGGACACTGCCTTATACTATACCCTGATTTCATTATGTAGCATCTTACCCTCTGACTTGGACTGATACATTTGTCATTCAACCAATCAGAGACCACCACAGAGCCACATTAATATGTTTACCAAATGGAAACAAACTGTCTTTGATTAACTGTACAAGTTGAGAGCTTTATCAATGATGTAACAAGGCAGTAACATGACAAAATGTCACCAGCTAGTTGCTCACACTATTATGAGTTCAATCTTAAGTCAGATTTGAATATCTGAGAACTAGTAGATGATTTTGAAAAAATAAATTGGTCAATTTGAATCAAGTTGAAAAAAGACCTTTTTTGACCCTGAGAAGGTCATTGAAGTTGAAATCTCAAATCAAAAGTAAGATTTGAACTTCTGAGAACTTGTAGATGATTTTGAAAAAATGGTCAATTTGAAGCAAGATGAAAAAAGACCTTTTTGACCTTGAGAATGTCATTGAAGGTCAAATCTTTTTTGACCTTTAGAATGTCATTGAAGGTCAAATCTATAGTCAGATTTGAACTGTTGAGAACTTGTAGATGATTTTGAAAAAATAATTGGTCAATTTGAAGCAAGTTGAAAAAATACCTTTTTGACCTTTTTTGACTTTGAGAAGGTCATTTAAGGTCAAATCTCAAATCAGATCAGAACTTCTGATAACTTGTTGATGATTTTGAAAAAAATTGGTCAATTTGAACCAAGTTGAAAAAAAGAAGTTGGAAGTTGTAAGAATTTGTTACAGACGCCGATCACCAACCACCAACCGCCAACCACCATCCGCCAACAAAAAAACTGAGACCATAACAATATGTCACCACTTTTTGGTGGTGACATAACAAAACAGAGTCTTGCAAAGAGTAGCAATCAAGTAACATGATGCATTGACCCCCACGCTATGCCCCACCCCTCGCCTAAAGAAGTTACAAAACTTTTTAACAGACTTCACACTTGAGGAATGTACCATGAATAAAAAAGAGGTACTTGTGATTTTTTCTTTTGTCACCCTGGATCTGCAGAAAGGAATTTATAAATAGCTCTGAGATTTGTAAATGAATTAGTATGCATGGAATCAAATGTTAAACATCGGGAACTGAAGGGGATTAACCACAATGGATTAATTCAAGCTACACATAAATATTTTATTTAAAGGGCAAACAAGCTTCAAAGATCATTGAACTGTATTGAAATAATCCCATGAAATTATGAATATCAATGAATATTGAGAATTGTTAATAAATGATTTTCAAAAGCAACACAATTTGCATTCAAATCTTTTCACTGATCTTGCATTGACAGGACAATATAAGTAAAGGTTTTTCAAAATCCAATTCTTGACCAAAATGAGTTTACAAAGTGTATCAGAAAGATTTAATGAAATTTAGCTCTACAGTACAGGAAAACCTGTCTGGTGGAACTCCAGGCTACAAAGAACAGTTTTCAAAAGAATCAAATATTTTTCCATTGGCTTACATGTTAACTGATCTTCCCTGCAAGGACCACCTCACTACAGAGAACAAGGAATAGTGTTTTAGGGCAAATTTTTGAAAAGCCTCTGTTCACAAGGAACATAGAAAATTGGTTACACTGTACAATGTACATCCTATTGTTTTTCAAAGGTGTGAATGGCTTAAGCCAATATCTAATTCTAAAGAGCTAGTGACTGACGCAACTGTTTTGGAGATGATAGACCTGTACTTGTTGACCTAAATCTCATTAAATCTTTTAAAGATCCAAACTTGCAGATTAATAATGCTACAAAATGACGTTGAAGAAACTTGAATACCAGTTCTAAGCAACATCTCTGATGTCATCCAATAAGTAATTCATTGTCTCTAATAATTCAATGTTATTCGGCAATTTGTTTTTTTGTGGGGTTTGGGGCCAAAACTTGAAACCTCACTGTAGTGAACATGTGTCTACAAGGAACAGTTTTGGGCAGTTCATAAAAAGTCCTTGTTCACAGGTTTCACTGTATTAGCATTGAAAAATCCTTGTACCAAGACAACAACACATGTTGCAGTATTCATGTATGTGCTGATTTTCATGTTTCAAGATAACAATGAAGCACAGTTTATATGACTCGAATTTGTTCCCATTAGCAGCACAGGAATGTTTCAATCAAATTAAAGGCAACTTAACATATAAACATCTATCAAATAGTGGGAATCAATATGACTGGACAAAGGATAAATTATAGGATGTACTACGAGAAATATGGAATAAATAATTTCGTTACTCATTTTCCGAAAGACAATTTCATATGTTAACATTGACTGTTACATAACAACATGTAACAATCATATTCATGACATAACATTTGTGTGCTGTATGCTGTAGCAAGTCAGTGACCATGATTCTGTTCAAGATGAGAAAAATGAGAAAGCTCATTTTAATTTCAACTTTTGTATTTCTTACTACAGGAGCCTTATGGTTCAAAGCTTCTCCCACATCAACATTTTGTACACAACATAACAACAATTGGAAAGTATTACTTTCTGAAGCATTGCCAGATGGGACACATGAACTGGTAGCTTATTCAGCTTACTATGACAACAGGACAGCAGGAAAGCAACACATCAGAATCATAAGTGCTACAAACTTTACTGACGATGATAGACTGTATTGTGAATTGTTATATGAAGATGGGCAAACTATTGCATCTACAGTAGAAATTGTGACTCTGAATCAGCAATCAAATGTGAAGTATCCAGCCGTGTTTGTACTTTGTGAAATTCCAATGAAAATTAAGGAAGAACAAAATAAGGCTTCATTGCCCATTTATGAACAACAGAGAGCGTTAGGTAAGCCCTGCGCTGTGTCATTTTCTATTCATCATTCAAAGGAGAATGAAGAAGGTAAGCTAAAGGATTATATACCAGTACAATACCAATCTAACGGTCATGGTGCTAAAATTAAAATGAGGAACTTTGCAGTATGTTTACCACCATATTCCATCGATAACATATCCCCAGAGCACTTAGTAGAATATCTGGAACTGTATCAACTTTTAGGGGTACAGGATTTTTATGCTTACTCAAATTCAGAGACGATACCCAAGGAGACAAAACAAGTGGTCGATTTTTATATAAATAAAGGCCGATTAACAGTATTACCATGGAAACCATTTAGTGATACACAAGACACAAATTATGAAATGGCTGCAATCAATGACTGTCTGTATAGAACAATGTTCAGGTATCACTATGTCATATTCACAGGCCCTATGGACTTTATCATCCCCCATGTTAAGGATAACAAAAACCTTGGAGCTCTTATGGAGCACCTTGATCGAACCACAGTTAGACCGGGAAGCTTTGCAATACGTCGGGCAGTTTTCCATACCAAACCAGAAAACCATATCAACTTAGACACTATAGAACAATACACAGAAAAGATCAACATATCAGAAAAGCAAACATTTCTAGATCAAACCAGGAAATGTATCACTATGATGAATGTGAGGAGGTTACAGTTTCAGGCACGACGTAAGGGAACAAGCGTTATTTCTATACCAGAAAGGGTAATTGAAATGGGGAGTGTGTTCGCTTGGAAGCATGTCACAGGTTATTGGGGGGTAGATGTCCCTGGGGAGGAGGCAATAGTTCATAGTTACATCCCTTGTCAAGGAATATGTGAGGATAATCAAAAGCTTGTGTATAATGATGTAACAATCCATAAATGGATTTATAAACTTTGGAGAAATGTAAATACAGTATTAAAACAAATGTCAACTATTTCTTAAGATAATAGAGTAGGAGAATTTTAGAACCTGACATATATACAGGTTATTCTACTTCAGTTCACCTTAAAACAATTTATTGTATAAACATCAAATGAATGGCTTATTTCACATAACTTAAAATAAATTAATCCAAATGTCATTTCACAGCATTATATAATGCAAATGCTACATGGAATGAGGATAAAATGTTAAATACAGAGAATAAGTATTTTTATTTACATTTGTTCTGTGAAGATATATTTTGTGTCCTTGAATATCTTAGAAGAACATAATTTGCGTGATCTTGAAAGTTACTGAGCTACATTGAATGGTTATTGTGTTTAAGTGTAAATATCAAATATTTGCACAAGGTAATCATGTTAAATGTATTGTATAACATAACACACTTGAGTTTAGATACATGATTCTCAAAGATAAACGGTAAGTACCCTTTGTAAAAGTTTGATAGTGCACCACAAAAAGAGCTTCATCTACACTCTTATATAAGATATAATTCTTTGATCTAAACTATCCAATCAGAATATTTCAATCTAAAAACAACTTCACAATCTAACTGGATATCAGACTGACTCATCTGTGTATGTACTGATGTTAATTTGCTATATTTACTCTTATAAAAAATCATAAAAGCTACTTTAGGTCATAAATCTCTTATTTGCATCAAAATTATGAATTCATTTGATGTACTCGGAGGGTAGTTGTATGTTACTGTTATCTTTGTGCTCAGGGTAACCTCAAAGCAACATCAGATTTAACTTTGCCACATAAGTTGAACTGAATCCAAATCTTGGTTTAGAATTAATGTTGGTATGATTAAATTCCTCGAGAGGGCAGTAACACGGGTGTTAAAACACGAATATACCATGAGCACATGCTTTGAGGATCCGCGTTGTTTGAACCTACCGCCGAGCACACTTATACATTAAGACCCGTTACACAGTCATGATACCGCCGAGCAAGCTCATTGCATCATCGGGTCTGCTTTACCCCCGTGAGTAAAGTAAGGCTGTGTTTCCTTTTTAAAAAATATTCATTCATTGATACAGAGTCTGCATTGTTTTGGCTATGGTTATCATGATGTGATATATTCATTGTCAATCCTAATAACTTCATTTTTGTAAAAAAGTGAAAAACAAATGCCCAGGAATATCAAATAATTTTGATTACTTTTGAAACATCTTTAACATATTTGACAACGATGTAGTAGCCATCAATTTAAGCACCTTAGATGAGATTTACTGTATGAGTGTTTACCTCTTTAGGGTTGGCAGCTTCGTCTATAAGCGCATCTATAGCTTCCCTGCTACCAGGCCCATGACGTGGGATCTCTGTGCTCCACTTAAGGTTGGCACGCATACTCAGTATATGCTCAATGAATCTATCATCATCAGGTACTGAAATCATGAAATGAAATGTTGTGTTAAAATGCATGACAAGAAATTAATGTAAATGGCTCAAATCATGAAAATAAATGTGTTATTGATGGAATTTTATTTTGGATTCATGAATCCACAATTTCAGGCATCATTTTATTATATAATTCATATAGCAGCCTCTCTCTTGTTGACATAAAAGTTATTTTTTTAGAACAAGTAGGAATGATTTTGGTTCTGTATAAATGCCATGCCCAAATTCTGTAATGAATTGTTTTTTTTATATCATGGGTGAGATGCCTATATATCTAGTGCTATTTGTTATCAAACACCTCAAATGTGCCTCAAAGTGTAGCCCTGCAATGAACAACTCATGGTATAATTGGAGCATTGATACCAATTGTAAAATAAAATGAACAGCATTTAAAGGGTCACAACAATCAAGCATCATGCAGATTTATTAAACACTGAAACAACTGCAATAGTTGATAATTCTAAGCATACAGTTTTCTGGAAAATCAAACTAGTCACTGGAATGGACAACTACATACAAATAAAAGATCTCAAAGAAACTAACAGGAAAATATCCAAATGGGGGTATTTTGAACTTTTCATGTTGTATTGTTTATCTTGACGATGGCTGATGAGAATATGTATACAAGAAAAAAAAATTACAAAATATGTTTGATGATCAACATATAGTTTAGTTTGTTATCGTGATCTTTGTTTGTGACAACATATTTTTTCAAAATGCTTCATTCATGTTAATACTCTGAAAATGTAACAACAATGATGCTCTTACAGTAATAGCAACCAGTTTGGCAAACAAAAACTTTATAACAACTACATATATGTATGTATTTGTTACTTTCTAATCAATGGTGTCTACTTCATGAATAAATGATTGAACTATTCATCTGTGAATTGGATACCATTGATTAGTCAATTTAATCAACTCTTAAAAACATATTCTATTGTTTTATCCTAGGAGGAGTAACATATCAGAGTTTTACATTTTCTTCATCATTTCTCTCTAAATCCCCATTTTCCTTACATTTCTGGATAATTAAATGTAATGGCTTGTTTAATATTTAATTCATTCTGCGATTATTCCAGTTTTCTTCTATTTAATTTCTGATACAAAAATACAACTGGTATGACATTTTATCTAATGAACATTTCATGCAAGGTAGTCACATTGTTCTACATTATATTAACAAAATATTTAATTCAAAAGGAGATGTCAGTCACTCAATACCTAAATGTTCTCATTGAAAATGATCATTTTGCTAAAAATGTTTACATTATAGCATCAATACATGCAACAAGAATAAACACTGCATCTTATATTAAAATAATGGAAAAAATCATAATTTCTTCAATCGTTTTGAATTTCGTTCTTTACATTGGACATTATTTAAACGAAGCAACGGCAAGCAACAATAACAATGTAATTTCTAGTCGATTCTACAGGAACATCGGCCAATTTTACAATTCTCCTTCTTCAATCATCAGAATATCGGTAATGGATATGGGACGATATGATATGGAAATTGCAGCCGTCCAATGCATCGCAAGTTGTACAACGCAATCTCCATCAAATTGCGTTGCTGTAAATTTCAGCGCTAAAGATGCAGCTTGTCAGCTTCTTTCCAGACAACCAAACCTCACATCTAATACAAAGATTGAACATGATGATGAATGGATACTGTACACAGAAAAAAGGCTACTAGGTAATAGTTTTAAAATGGGGTAATATACAAATAACATGAACTATTTCTTCTTACTTTCTATTTGATCATCTACCAAATTTTCTCGCCTTTTTATTAAAGGTCATATGACGATCCTCATATAAACTGTGCAGAGAGGTTTGTTCAAGGTACAGGTTGGCTCAAAAGGTGCATTTCCATGAACATGTAGTACATAGCATATCAAATAATGTTGTTACATATTTATCCAATTTTACAGAAACATACTGGGTGGATATACCTGGTGCATGCATTGCGGGATACAACCACCGCAAAATAAATTCTGTCACTACTATTGATGCATGTAAGAAACTGTGTGAAAACGAGAAAGAATTTGAGTGCTGGTCAATTGACTATGAGGCTGAATATGAGAGGTGTCTCCTGTCTGAGAAATCCTCAAGAAATAACCCCATAAGTAACCCTTGTTATATGTCAGGGTACACCTATGCTGAAAGGTCCATTGAAGATAATAGTTGAAACCAGGTGAGTTCTTATTATGTCACCATCAAGAAGTGATGAAACAAAACAAGATTTTCAGATGTAGTAAAATCTGTGTATATTAAACATTTTTAAAAATTTGTGTTGGGAGGTGTTCATTACAAAGAGGGTAATTTGTACAGAAGTCAATAGAGTATGTGCGGAGGAAGGGTGTCTACTAGAGACAGGTGTTCACTTAAGAGAGGTTGGGGTATATAACTTACTACCTTTAATGAAATGAATTGAAAAACTAAATCCATCATTTTTCTTCCAGAATTTAACTTCTATCGAAAGAGGATGTTCACTAATCATAAGAACTGCATTAAGAAACAACACAGTAACTGAAGACTAAACCAGCTTTACAAATATATTACTAGTTCAAAAGATATTAGTATTCTTGATACAACACTAGGCCATATCTATTCATCTGAACTCTAGTCCATTGTAAAGCAATGGCAGACAATCTAGACATTCATCCCCACAGCATATTGCTAGCTTACAATAGCATGCAGATCTAACCTTTGGGGTCTGTTACTTTGATTGACTCACTAGACTTGGCACATTGGGTTTTGAATCAATTCAGCTTTTATTCCTGGCTTTTATTGCTTTCACGGAGGATATTGTGTCAAGGAATTTGTATGATTATTATTTTGGTTACAAGACGGTTGCAAAATTCAAAATCTTTGCAACATATGCAATTGAATCATTTCCTAAATGTTCACCTCTCCCTAATGGTACAGGATGCAACACATGCAAAAAGGGATACATCCTTTAGGACATTTCTAGTTCTTTTGACCACATAGCTTTATGGCATTCCAGAAATTTGAAAATTTGATTCAAATCATGCTGGAAAGCCCCATTATGAATGAGACCATTCAAGATCATTTCCCAAAGTTTTGATATCATGACAAAATATATGCAATTTTGTATGAAACATCAGAAATTTTATGAAGTGTTCAGATTAGACAGGTGAATTTTTCAAATATGACTGTTCACTGTTCAAATTGGGAGGTTTTCACATTTCAAGGTTTTTTAACATGAATGGGAGTCAATTAGAGGAAAAAATGGGACTGAAAAAAGTGTTCAGATTGGGAGGTGTTTAAATTAGCCAGGTGTTCAGATATACAGGTTCAACTGTACATATATTGACCTGCTAATAGCCCTCCATATAAAAGCAAAAGCATAGAATTCTGTGCAATCCCTAACAACAAAAGGAAAAATGAAGAAACATTAAAATCATGCTTTAAAAATGAACAACAGATGATAAACAGCAAAATGTATTTTGGAGAGAAAATGACAAGTAGTAAATAACATGTCTTACCAAACAAAGGTGAACCTGTGAATGAATAATGCAAGTGCAGCTGAGAGTGACATCTTTATGAGTTTGACATAAACATAAGTGTATATTAATTATTCTGATATGATTAAATTATTGATATTTTGCATGCAGAAACTTACCTCAATTTTCATCATGGTATCCACATTTCTTCAAAAATTGTGATATGTATAATAACATTTTAAACTAGATATATTCTTGTCTCTATTTTTTTTTTATTTTGTCTCTAATTGTGGTTCAAGTAATCATCTAATTTCATTGTAAGTAAAGTAAATACAGGGTGGGCCAAAATGGTCACCCATTCTAATTGTAAATTATAATAAGGGTAAGACTTTTTGGCCCATCCTGTGTAATGCTGATACACTTTTTCATGTTTTAAACAAAGTCTATGTATAATACGTACTGTTGTTTTAGTATAGCACACTAAGAAGATGAGCATATTATATCATACTGTGATCGAAAATTCTCACCTGTATCATCATAAATGTTCTTCTTCTTGTATGTTAGGACTAAATCTGGGTCAACTTTTCTAGTGCCATAGGTCGCTGATTTCACACGTGAGGCTTTAGATACATTTGTGAGGGTAGGGGAGGGAGGTGTGGGGGTAGGGAGCTCAGTAGGGGAGTGACCCTGGGGGATATTCTCACCAGTGATCTTTGAAGTTCTTGTTTTCTCACCATTGATCTCATTATCTGGAACAAAAATAAATTACAATTTTCAAGCTCAAAGTGAATCATCGGGAAAATAAAGGTGACAGTATTTCTGGATATGAAAACTCCAAAATATTTGATATATAAACCAGAACAACGGCAACGCCAAAGCGTAGCGAATCCCATCGAACAGAAATAGCTGGCATTTTTACAAACGAAATATATAGCAAATATCATAAAATAACACACATAAGAAAGTTGTCATCAGAAGAAGTAATATGCTTTTTTATAGTATTCACATGCCAAATATGAACAAAATCGCTCCACTACTTTTCGAGTTATAGTAAAATACTTTAAAATGGAGGCCATTTTTCAAAATGGCCACCTTCTACCAAAAGTGTCATAAGACAGTGTGCCATGCTAATAGTATTCGAATACCAAATATAAACAAAATCGCTCCACTACTTTTCAAGTTACAGCAAAAATCGTAAAATAACGAGTAAAGGCCGAGTAAAATACGTTTTAATGGCGACCATTTTCAAATTCCATTTTTTGTCATCAGAAGAAGTAATATGCTTTTTTTATAGTATTCACATGGCAAATATGAACAAAATCGCTCCACTACTTTTCGAGTTACAGTAAAATACTTTAAAATGGTGGCCATTTTTCAAAATGGCCGCCTTCTACCAAAAGTGTCATTAGACAGTGTGCCATGCTTATATTATCCACATACCAAATATGAACAAAATCGCTCCACTACTTTTCGAGTTATAGTTAAATATGTTAGAATGGCGGCCATTTTGAAAAATGGCCGCCTTCTACCAAAAATGTCATTAGACAGTGTGCCATGCTTATAGTATTCACAAACCAAATATGAACAAAATCGCTCCACTACTTTTTGAGTTAAAGTAAAATATGTTAAAATGGCGACCATTTTTCAAAATGGCGGCAAATTTTCAAAATGGCCTCCTTCTACCAAAAGTGTCATTAGACAGTGAGCCATGCTTATAGTATTCACATACCAAATATGAACAAAATCGCTCCAATACTTCTTGAGTTACAGCAAAAATCGTAAAATAACGAGTAAAGGCCGCCATTTTTCAAGATGGCTGCCATGTGCTATTTTGATTTCTACATTTCTAGCTTTATCAATGTCCTATATAATTTTTTTACATTTAAAACATAATGCTATCACAGTTTTACATATTGCACCTAAATTACTGTAAAATCGGCACTAAAATGGCCGCCATTTTTAAATGAGCGGCCATTTTGAAAATCGGCTTTTTAGCAGAACTTCTACCCCCATAGGGTATATGTGTAAAAAATATGAACAAAATCGGGCCAATGGTATTTGAGTTATTGCCCGGACGGACGGACGGACAGACGGACGGACAGACGGACGGACGGACAGACGTACGTACGGACATACGTACGGACGGACGGACGGACGGACGGAGGCGTTCCCTATATCCCTCCGAACTTCGTTCGATGGGATAATAAAGATGTGACTTTCACCATCAGCTTAAAACTATCCAGCTTAATATTGATTTTGTCATAAAAATCAACACCTTAAAAAGAAGAATCTGAATCTGCCTCTTTAAGACAAATACAAGTACAGTACTTACCTTGTGTATCTAATGCAGATACAACACTCCCTGATTTCTCCAAGTCCTGGTCTAGTTTTGAAGTAATAGAAGAAACAGATCCAAGGTCATCAAAGTCTATATCGGAATGAGAGTCTGCTTCTGACATATTATTATCCTTGACTGGGTTACGCTGCAGCCTGGAAATTAAAATGATGCTAGGGATATATAAGACATTAACATGACAAAATATCACCAACTTGCAAGTTATTGCAAACCACTCAACGCTGTCACAAAAAAGTTGGAGACCATAACACTACAGGGTGATCCAGAAGTAACGTCAAAGACATTGTAATTTCAAAAGTATTCATCAGATCTTCATGAAATTTGGTATACATGTACCCACAACATTTCTGAGTTACCATCTCAAAGATTGGAATTCAATCATTTCATTGGTTGAAATTATGGTTGCTATAGTAACCCGATATCGCGTAACCCGGGGCAAATTGAAGAGAAACCATAACGTTTTTGTGAATTTCTCTAATTTAAAAAGTCAGTAACATTTGAAAATGTTCATTGTTTGTTTTCTATGATTTTTATATTTGTTGCCATGGTTACAAATATGTAATAGTTGTGATGTCACAATAGGCATTCATAAAAAGCTTTCAATTTCTTTGAATTGCTTCCATCATCCATGACAAATACTAACATGACCAAGGACACTAACCCACCCAATTCAAGATGGGGCCAAGTCAGAGTAAAATAGAGCAAAGAACAAACATTAAGTTCTGTGTAAAGTTGGGGAAAGGTGTAAAAGAGACTATAAGACAGATAAAGAAGGCATATGGTAAAGCTGCCATTGCTGAGAGAAACATTTACAGGTGGTTTAACAAGTATTCCAGTGGATATGATGAAGTGGTAGACAAGCAGCGAGGAGGCAGGCCAGTGTCGTCATTCGATGATCAAACCATCAAAGCAATTGAAGCTGATGTTATGGACAATAGGCAAATTTCTATCAGAGAATTGGCTGAAAAACACGATCTGAGCTATGGGACTGTGCAACGGATACTGACAAAGAACTGTCTGTTAAAGAAGGTGTCTGCTAAATGGGTGCCGCATGACTTGACACAGGAGCAGAAAGACCGGCGTGTTAAGGCTTCAAGGGACTTTCTTGCAAAATATCGGAGAGATGGAGATGACTTTCTTAACAAGATCATTACGAGTGACGAATCATTGCTATCATTCTACATCCCAGAGACCACGCAACAAAGTTCATCGTGGAAACATGACAACTCCCCAACACCAACCAAGCCTAAAATAGTACCAGGAATTCCACAAAAGAAACAAATGGTTGTGACATTCTTTGACATTAGAGGAATGGTGTTAACCCATTTTGTTCCCATTGGCCAGAGAATTAATGCCGTTTACATTGCAAAGGTAAGATATCATTTGTTCTAATAATACATCATACTGTGAATTTTATTTTTAAATTAAAGTATTTAAATGTTGTTCACTGTCAATATAATTATAACTCCATGGCCATGATTCAAATCCAAATCCAATCAATGAAACAACTGGTTTAACAACCATTAAACATTTGTTTTTCAGGTTCTGAAGCGTGATCTTCAACGTTCCCTGAGGAAAAAGCGTCCCGGACCTCTGCAGCAGTTTATCTTGCATTGGGACAATGCCCCTACGCACACTGCAATCCTGACCAGCAACACAGTCCAAACACTTGGATTTCAACAACTTGAACATGCCCCTTATTCACCTGATCTTGCCCCCAGTGACTTTTATTTGTATGGGGAACTAAAAAGAAACCTTAGTGGAAATAATTTTCAATCCTGTGAGGAATTGAAAAATGCCGTAGTACTAGCCCTACAAGGAATGAGTTCTAATGGATTTAATTCTGTGTTCAAGGAATGGGTATCCAGACATGAGAAATGTGTTGCAAATGGTGGCAATTATGTAGAATGAACTATTATTAGTAACTGTGCAATAGTATGATTTATATTGTTGTGAAATAAAATGTTGAGGATATAACAATTTCAGATCTTGTTGATATTTTGAGATTACGCATTACACGTTAAGTAATTTGCCCCGGGTTACGCAATATCGGGTTACTATAGCAACCATAATTTCAACCAATGAAATGATTGAATTCCAATCTTTGAGATGGTAACTCAGAAATGTTGTGGGTACATGTATACCAAATTTCATGAAGATCTGATGAATACTTTTGAAATTACAACATCTTTGACGTTACTTCTGGATCACCCTGTATGTCACCACTTTTGGTAAGTGACATAATAAAAATGAAATTGCCTTTTAGCCCCTCTCTCAAAACTTAAATACATTTTGGTTATACATTGTATATCAATGAGTTCATTAAATCGTTCATAAAAATTAGGATTCACCATTAAATGGTGAGAGAGTAAAACATGTGATGTGGAACACCTCTGTAAGTGGAACACTTCCAAAGTAGGGTTACTTAACTTTAAAATGAACCTCTGTTAGTGAAACACCTCCAAATTGGAACATTATTTTGAGGTAATAAAAGTGTTCCACTTATACAGGTTTTAATGTAAATTGTTTGCCTATAATAAACATTATCACAGAATTTGGGAAATGCAAATTTATTATTTCTTAAACAGTGAAACAATAGATAAAGATAAACAGTGAATCAATACAATTTAATTTTTTTCAAATTACACATCAAATTCTATTACAGAGGACTTGTATGTATACAGATAAATAAAATCTCAGGAAAAGCACTTAAAAGTACATACATTGAAACACTAAGTGTTCTCTGACTATCTGAGCTCCCTAATCGATGGATGCGGGCCTTCTTCTGCACTTTGCGTCTTTCATAATCTTTCTTTAGCATAGTAGTGCGGAAAACATTAGTAGGAGAACCTGGACCAGAAGGAGGCTTGGGAATCATCTAGAGAAATTCAACACAATATATTACATGCTGTACAAGTTCACTTATACAGTGCTGAACATATATACGGTTTATTACAAATTGCAGTTTAATGACTGAAAGTGCAAGACATCTTGCTGTGAGAAATATATGACACATGACAGACATTTAGTTTTTGGATGTTGGAATAGTGTGCAATTAAAGATAATACATACTTATTTCACATACTCTGTATAATGCCTATAGTTGTTACAATTTGTTAACATAAATCAAAAGAAAAAACTTCTGAAATCTCATTTTGAGCTTGAAGTAGCCTATATAGAAAATATGAGGATGGGCCAATCATAATAAATGTACATGTACTTGGTGGGCATGACAAACACAGTATACAGGTTTTGTTAACATAAATCAAAAGAATAAACTTCTGAAATCTCATTTTGAGCTTGAAGTAGCCTATATAGAAAATATGAGGAACGGCCCATCATAATAAGTGACAGGTACTTGGTGGGCATGACAAACACAGTACAGTGTATACAGGTTTTGTTAACATAAATCAAAAGAAAAAACTTCTGAAATCTCATTTTGAGCTTGAAGTAGCCTATATAGAAAATATGAGGATGGGCCAATCATAATAAATGTACATGTACTTGGTGGGCATGACAAACACAGTATACAGGTTTTGTTAACATAAATCAAAAGAAAAAACTTCTGAAATCTCATTTTGAGCTTGAAGTAGCCTATATAGAAAATATGAGGAATGGCCCATCATAATAAGTGTCAGGTACTTGGAGGGCATGACAAAAAAACAGTATACAGTTTTTTTACATTTTGTAATGCCATCACCCTACAGCTCTGATTACTGAATCTATAGACACACTTGCGAATCAAATGTACATTCATTTCTAATAGAGAAATCCTTAAAAAATAATTTTAATGTACCTCTGGTGATCCAGGCAATTTTGGCAGTTGTCGCTTCTGAGGAGGTTTCATTACAGCTTTGAGAACACCAGAGTCCTGGGGAGTATTATATAGTCTGGCCATTAGAGCATTATGGGGTTGAGCACCATTTAGTTGAAGGGGTCTTAATTTGGCCCCCACAGCAGGATTATGTGTCCCATTCATAACAGAACCCCTCCCTGCACGACTCTTAGATGTTTCAACTCCTAGTGTCTTTGTTGGAGAGTTACTGGTTTTGGTACCAGGTGGTGCTGGGTATTCTGGATATTCAGGGTCACCATCAAACATGTATATCTCTGTCATATCTGTCATCTCTGTTGGTAGACCAATATTGCCTGATTGAAGTGATCCATCACTCTTATGGCTACCCCCTGATTTAATATTCCTAGCATCCATTGTCACGGTGATTGTGATCTCTTGGCCCTGGAACATTGTAAAGAGAAATCTTTGAAAATGGTTATTTCCCACAATAATACCCTATTTCAATATTCAATTAAGGTTCAGCTGGAAAGTAACATTTTGGTAAAAAATTGCTATACCTGCACATGTTATTTTCTGGTACAAAATTAAGTTGTTTTTTTTTTTTTTTTTTTTTTAAATTTTATATTTCCTTTATTTCATAATATATCATACAAACAGATACAAGGCCTACGCCGAAGCATTATTGGCCCTGTTAAAGTAGTTACAATATAGGTTAAAATAGGTCACAATGCAAAAATGATAGATATAAAACATATTTATGAACATGAAAATAATCATGAAAGCATGAAGACAGGTCAGAGATATATGTACATATTAATGAATATTTGACTATTTAACTTCCTTGACAATAGAGTGTAAAAATTCAGCTGTTAATTCAATAGCCTTTTTATTTGTAATTGTGTCTAGAGAAGGATCTGCAAAAAGTAGAAAGTCTACCCTGTCTTCCTGTTTTCTATTATTAAAAGAGTTTAAATTAAAGGATGGCAGTCCCCCTAGTTCTCTGTGAAAATTGAGTCTTTGAATGTTAAAAAGAGGGCAATGGAGCAATAGGTGTTTGGTTGATTCGGTAGAGTGACCACATTTACATGTGGCATTTGGGATATTTTTGAAGTTATGTGTAAAAAGATGCTGCCTAAAAATGAGATCACATCTCGTTTTATTTAAGACAATTAAGTACAAAATTAAGTATGAAGGCATATGTGTATTTCCTTGCTTTTTTCAGGAAAGTATCATTACACTGTCTTCTTTTAGAATATCTGGAAACAGGTCAATGGTAGCTCCTGTGTTGTCTGGAAACTTTGAAAGAAAATTTGGAAAAATAGAAAGTGTGAAATATCAGAATTTCCTGGAGTTCCCATTGAACGCCTAACAGATATTTTAAAAGAAGACAATGTAATGATACTTTCCTGAAAAAAGCAAGGAAATAGACACATGGCTTCATACTTTATTTTGTACCAGAAAATAACATGTGCAGGTATAGCAATTTTTTACCAAAATGTTACTTTCCAGCTGTACCTTAAGCTAAATTTAGCAGCGATCACCCAAGCATAGGAGCAACTGGATGCTGCACCCGGTTGGAAATCGCTACCATAAAGAATGTATCCGTCTGCACCCCGTCAAAAAGATAAAATAACCAATCAAAATATGACACGAGACAAGTGATGCTGTATAAATGCCAACAGTAAATGTGGATCAAATGTGCTGTAAAATCTGGATGACAGTGGTAATATTTGACAACTATTTTTATGTTTTATGATATCCAATCAGAGGTTAAGAGAAAATGTCAATATCCCTTTTCCACTTATTTCTGCCAGTTTCTTACACACTTACTTGAATATATTTGTATCTATTATATTAGAAATATAAATTTAATAAACAATCTAGTGATTATCACGTACGATACACAAAAATTATTTTTTTCAAAAGTAGGTCACATTTTCTGCCAATTTATATCAACATGAGGTCCTGGGGGTTTCACTCTTATATACCTCTTAATACCTATGTGCCAGTAAGACTCCCTTTTGAGCATTTTTTCGATGTCAATTTCCTCTCAAAATTGAAGGTGTTCATCTTTAATTCCTGTCTGGAGTTTGCATGGTTTATGCCCAAAGCCAAAATTGGCTGTGCTGCACATACCTACCCAAATTATTCAGAGTGAACCCCCGGGCATAAGGTGTGTGCGTAATAAACTTGTCCACGTGGGAACTATTTATGACCTACATCGCTAATTTCGTAATAAAAATGCAACTCTTTCATTTTACACAAAATTATGGCAAAATATCATAGAAGCTAACAAAGGTGTATTTTTGAACAGAATCACAAGTTTTTATGGAGACTAAAACAGCAGTCTACCTTTCGGTGGATGGATATGGAAACTCATGTAGTAATGAGGCACGATGATTTCGACGACAAATGGAATATTTTTTCACTTATATTTTTCTTCCTGACCATACTACCTTCACTTGTCATGATTGACTGATTTCACTTGGTAACCTAGGTTCAGGAGGTAGTGGAACAAATTGGTAAGTTGATACATGGTTAATAGCATACCATTTTATTATTTTGGAAAGTCAAAGTGATAAATTGAATACTGACTTTTACTTCAGCCATCAGTCATACTCCTTGTTGCTTGTTAAAAAAGGCAAGAACTTAACTTCGACATTATAAGTGTTATCTGATGAATGGGACCTTCACGTGCCTTCCAAATGGTAGTAAACGAACTCCAATGTAACTACATCAGCTTATCTTTCTGTCCGATCAACAATAAGTAAAGTTATACAAGAAATGGTGGACATGAAATATTTATAAGAAACTATGGTTTGAGCTTTATCATACTCTAACAAAGCAAGAAGTGCACATTTTCATGCCTTCGATGTTCCTTGGTAAGGTAAGATGATTTGTGGAAATTTTGGATTCTTGAAAATGTGTGACTGTTGCAAGGCTACTCCTTGAAACTTTCAAAATTTAGCCTCACTTCACACTCTTCATGCTAGCTTTGGGGATCCATGCACTTCCAATTCATAGTTTTGAAAAATATGTTTAAATGTGATGTTTTCTTTGATGTGTCTGTTTAGTCAGGAAATGCATGCACATACAAGGAAAACATTATCCAAAATCTTCTGACTTTATCAAAAAAATATGGCTGCCAACTTTTTGTACTTTTGATTGACTTTAATTTCACCTTAAATTCTTGCGAATACAAAATGGGGCTTTGACATACCACAAGACCTTAGAAAATCACAGATATTAAAATGAAGGCCTGCAATTAGGGTTGACTGGTCTTTTATAGACATAGATGGTGGATCTATATGCACTCAGAACTACCAACACAAGGCGAATGACAGAACAAGAGATCATTTTGTATAAGTAAATTGTCAAGCTTACTTTTAAACGCGGTTGTAATTTACAGAACGGCAAAAGTAGAAAAAATCCGAACATTTTTAACTGATTAAGATCTTTAAATTGTGAAGGTCTGAGTACCTGAACCTCTTAGAAAACATCCAAACATAACAAAAGGTGACGATGGGTCAATTTGATTCTCGTTCTCTGAAGATATTAATAAAATAGTTAAATGTTCGGAGTTTTTTAATGATGTAAATTGTTCACAATTCTAAATCAAGAAGTCGCTCGTATTTCTGTCGTATTTAAGAAATCATGTTGCCGAAAATCAGTGCACGTGTTCATTGTGTTGTTATAAAATGTGTGTAGATCTAGGGCGAAGGGGTGTAACGTCGACACCGTTTTGGGGTAACTTCGACATGTGGGGTAACTTCGACACCTTGTTGTTTATTTGCTCTAATTTCCGATCTAGGGGGAAGCCATGTTTTTGTTCTCGCATGGATCGAGATCTCGCGAGATTTTAATTTTTCCAGAAATCAAACATGGCGGAAAACGGAAATTCTACTTCTAATACGTAAGTGTCGAAGTTACCCCGTCTATTATGTCGACATTACCCCACACGTCGACATTACACCCCTTCGCCCTATATGTCGTTTGAAACCCTCTCTACCGCAATTTTATTATAAACTAACACCTTAGGGTAAACCTTTGCTCGAGGAATAACTCATATAACTAACATTTAAACCTCAGTCCATTGTCGTTATCACTTACTAATAAACCCAAGTGAGATATGGTTCTTGCCTCAGCACGAGCCAAAAATTAAAAATGACTGAGAAAAGTGAGATAATTTTGAGAAATCCGATACTGAATGTGTAGTCTAAGTTGATAATAAAAGGCCTATTACCTGTATTATACAGCAGAAATTATGTCTGAGCAATCACTGTAGAGATTTAGACGATGGTTACTACTTCTTTTTGTCATTTTAAATGTATATTTGTCAATTTAAACGATAAAAACATTTTAAAAAATTTGTTGATGCCGCCATATTTTTTCTCCTGGTGACCGTCCCAGAATGCATCAACTCGGAAGTTAACTCTTACTATCTCTTTCACTTTCGGTTTAGGTAATATGGGCTCTTTATCGAGTATTCGGGTCATTGGAATATAATCCACACTCTTCTGTGTTATGTTGGTATATAAAGTCAGCAAAAGACTTCGCAAAATGTCACAGACATTCCATATTATTCCATATTTGTGTTCAATAATTTTCTGCAAGTACCTGTACACTAGACGAAAGGAAATATAACACTGATAAAGCATAAACCCGGGAACGCAATCCGAGATCATTCCTGGCTTCCAGCTCATTAATTTCATTCACTTTTACAAATCACATTTTAAGTAGTTCATGGAAACCCACAAGTTCATATAATCTGGTAAATTTAACAAACATTACTTCTCACAGACTGAGAAATTAGATGAAATGAAGCATGGCACCCTTTAAATTTGGACGATCCCATATTTCATTCAGGGGTGTCTGTATAAATGAGGGGAACATATTAATGTGTCAAGTGTTTACAAATTGATACAGAAAACACAAATGACAAATTTTAGTATTTGCTAGTCCTATCACAAATGAAGCATTAAGAAGTTATGCATCCAGCTGTAAAGATTTTTGTATAATGCGCTTACATCCCTATTAAAATAAAATCGAACCGTCCAAAAGGAAAGTTTACATATCCAAAATTTAGCATGGCGGCAAAGCTTCAAGCGCGAAGGGAGAAATATCTGAAGATTTTAGGACTTCCTACTCCAGCCGGAGATGGTATGACTGAATTTATGATTTTAAATTTATAAATGACTATTCACCCACACTTACTAATAAGAAAAAACTGCTATGCTTAGTCTAGTGCAACATGAAGAATTTGTGTGTTTTTAAAAAAGTGCAACTGCAAGCAAAAATCAAAATAGCCTAGGCCTAGATCTATCAAATATCAAGATTCAAAAGCAGAAATGGTAAATCATTTTTTGACTCATACTAGCTAGTCCACTTTGCATATATGATACACAGAGCCAGGGAATAATAGTCATGTTTATGGTTAAGCCCTCGTAAAGAAGTATTGGCTAAGCCCCGGGGGATAGGCCATCTACTTTGCCTTCGAAAAAACAAATCCATGTTCAGACCCTCTCATAACATGGACTTCTAATCAGTTTCTAATCAGTGATTAGAGGTCCATGCTCAAACTCATAGTCTATGTGACAGGATGGGATGACAGGCATTCAAAGGATTTTCCAACAAAGGGGTTGACTGTTGCGTATAGATCTGTTGCGCCACTGACACAATGGGCATGCAGAATTTAGCTGTCGTGTGGCTGGCTCAGATGCTGCAAGCTAGGGGGCCTAGGGGAATGTCCCCCAGAAAAATTATGGTATAATTTGAAAATTATAAATTTGGGAGTCATATTACACTACCCTAGGATGAAAAAATATCTCCATCCTAGCACTACCCTATAGTCTGGCTGTAAAATTCAGTAAACATGACTCTTTTAGAAGAGCTTTATGTATCAATTGTGGTACTCTCTTGTTGGTTTATCAAGGAAATGATCAAAGAAATAAACCGATAAAGAGTCAGGAATGTATTAAGATATCTATGTAAGATGTAAGCAAGGGTATTCAATAGAAAGTCCATGATGTAAGTTGCTTTGTAATGGGAATGTTTTTATCAGAGACATATAAAATGTTTTATATGTCTCTGTTTTAATAAATGACCAAAAGATAAGAATTCAAAAACCAAGAATAAAGCTACTATACCTATATAAAAAATATGTTAATTTGACATTGATTTTAATTAATTTTTACCTATAAGTGATTTTGACTTGAAATACATGTGATTGTGAACTGGAGTATATTGTCAATACAAAGGTAACTTACATCATGGACTTTCTATTGAATACCCTTGCTTACATCTTACATAGATATCTTAATACATTCCTTACATCTTAATCTAAATCTCACAAATAATGGGTTGAAAATTATGTGTGAACTTTTAATTGGGCCTAATTATAGAGAACATCTGAGAAAAATAAGTGGCTTTTGATCGTTAATTGCAATAATGGCTTATAAAGTATTTGTTTGGAGTAAGTATTTATAATTGGGAACTGGAGAGAAATGATGGAAACGTGGGAATTACATGTAAAACTAGTTGGAACAAGAACCTACAATAAAATATAATTATTGGTGGGCCTTTAACGAAACCTTGCCCATATGTACTCCCAATACATCAAGAGAGCTTTAACTTGTAAATATTATAGAACAGCCTATTTACTTTAATTACCTTCAATGATTTTTTAAATCCGGAATAAATATTAATACTTTTAAATTTTAACTTGATCATTCAATAAATGAGACTTGACCTTCTTTGCTACTAAGAATGCCAATATATTGACCTTTGGTTAGTATAACCTTGACCTCACCGCACAGGTATAATATTTTACTCTCTTGATTAATATGTAGATAAAACCTAAATTAATTACTGAATTGCATTTCTCTTTTTCAGCATGCATCAATCAAGCATACAGACAACTAGCATATCAGTGGCATCCAGATAAGGTTTGTCAAAAAGGGCCTCCAATCTTATAATATTTTTATATACTTTTTAAATTGCAACCCTTTTGTTATAAATTAAATTCTGAAACTAGTCCTAAGTATGTCAGATTCTATTAAGATAAAACTGAAAGTGAAGATTTAAGTCTAGTAAAAGAGATTAGTAGAGACAAGTTGAGAACAAGTTCACTCTCATTATTCCATGTCATACCTCTTTTCTAAAAAGTTTAACATTTCAGATTAATTTCTTGATAATCCTTCAACTTTTGAAATTATCTGGGATGGTTATTGAAAATTAGGATTGCAAGAAAACATTGGTACAATATTTGAAAATTGCTTTCTTGAATTCCTTGAATGAGAAGTATTAAAGTGATTATTCCATTATTTTGATTTTTTCCAGAATCATGGAAATGAAGAAGCAGCTAAGGTTAAATTTCAACAGATCAGTAAAGCTTATACACGAGTTCAATCTGTCAATCGTAGGATCAAGAGGCTGGATGAAGAATTAATGAAAGTTCCAGCCTTGAAACCTGGAGGTTAGGACAGTCTTAGACCATAAACTAGGAGGAAGACAGAATTCTGTTTTTCCTTAAAAAAACGTTCTGATTTAGAATCCTGAAAAATAATCAAATTTACAAAAAGTAGATTTTAAAAGTATTGCTTTGAAATTTCATCTATATTACTGTTCTCTGTGCTCATAAATCACCACTCTCAAAAATGTTTTTATTAATTTTATTCAGAAAGAAAAAAGAGGAAGAAAACTAAATCTCAAAGTGAAGAATGCTGCCACTGTGGCAGATGTTTAAACCTTGAGGATTTCCAGGATTCTGACAGTGATACTAAAAGTGATGAAGAAAATGAATGTTTTTCATCTGATGAATGGACAGACAGTGAAGATGAGGAGAGTGAAGATGATTGGTTTGAAATGTTCTTTAGGATATTTCAGGAGGTTATTTATAAGAGAAGTAAGTAATTAAGTAAGTAATTGGGAATGTTTATTTAACCCAAATCTATTTAGATAAGTCAAAGATTGGATAAAAATAAAGGAAAAAACATCCCTTTATTTAGGTAACAAGACAACTCGGATTCAGGATGTTTTCTTGATTCGCATTTTGAGAAAGGAAACTATTCATTAAATAATGACTTGGAAGAAAGTATACAACTAGAACCTCTCAATTTGAAGTTTTTATCATATCAAGGTATGACATCATTCTGGTAGATAGCTGGCACAAGGCAGTGTCACTCATCTTGTCTTTGCATTTTCAGACATATCGATAGACTGATTGATTAAATTTGAATGGAAATCTTGAATTCAAATTAGTATTTGGACATGCTGGATAAATCTTAAGGTGACTTTAAGCTATTTGGAACCACAGACATGACGATGACATAATGAGAAATTTATGAAATCTACAAGGAAAAATATCACAGAATTGGTTTTTGAAGACTGATGATAACATTGGCTTTTGGTCATGATTAATCAAATTCTAATTTCCAGGATTTCAAAATAGAACACGTGGAAGGCGTAATCATCACTGCCACTGTGATGTTGATGAAGAAGAGAAAGAGGAGGAGGAATTCTTTAGCCATCTATTTGAAAACAGAAAACGTCAAGGATTCTATGATGACAACCTGACTGAAGAAGATGTAAGTACATGTGGCCTTTATAAGTACATGTGGTCTCTGTAAGTACATTTGTCCTTTGTAAGAACATGTGGCCTTTAAAAGAACATGTGGCCTTTCTAAGTACATGTGGTCTCTGTAAGTACATGTGGCCTTTGTAAGTGCATGTGGCCTTTGTAATAACATATGGCCTCTGTAAGTACATGTTGCCTTTATAAGAACATGTGGTCTTTGTAAGTACATGTGGCCTTTGTAAGTACATGTGGCCTTTATAAGTACATGTGGTCTTTGTAAGTACATGTGGTCTCTGTAAGTACATGTGGCCTTTGTAAGTACATATGGCCTTTGTAAGAACATGTGACCTCTAAGTTCATGTGGCCTTTATAAGTATATGTGGTCTTTGTAAGTACACGTGGCCTTTGTAAGTACATGTGGCCTTTGTAAGTTCATGTGGTCTTTGTTAGTAGATCTGGCCTTTTTAAGTACACTTGGCCTTTTTAAGAACAGTGGCCTTTGTAAGTACATGTCGTCTTTGTAAGTAGATCTGGCCTTTGTAAGTACATGTGGCCTTTGTAAGTACATGTGGCCTTTGTAAGTACTTGATACTCTATACTCTCAGATTAGGGATAATTCCCAAAACCAAACTGAATACAATGTATGAAGACAGAAAATTACACACAGATATTTATGAAGTTCCTGTAGCTATGGCCAGTAATACTGGATTGTAGAAACATGTTAGATAAATGTAGATTTTGTAAATAATGGAAATAATGGATTTTTTTGGCAACCATATTAAATCATGTTGTCCATATTGGCACATTCTGTCCCCCATTTTGTGAAAGAGAATATTTATCTTGGCATGGCCCTTTGTCCTTCTTGTAATAGAATAACAATTATTTTCAGTTGAAGAAGTTTCAATCCTATGAAGATTGGCTGAAGACAAGGGATCCCAGTAAAAGACACAATACAAGAGTCAGGGTAAGTTACAACAGTATACCACATATAAACGCATGTCTCCAACTTTTAATCAGTACATGATTCTAAACACAGATTCTATTATGTTTCCTCTGCTTAGATTATTGGCACAACATCTCAACAATCTTACTCAAGGTTTTGTTTACTTACCTGTTAGGGGCGGGGTCAAAATATCGATGTTCATATGGAGACGAAAGTACTTTCGCGAGGGGGGAGGGGGTTTTTGGGCACTTTCGTTGACCAAAAAAACATCGATAATTCGGATCTGATATACAAAAAATAATTGGACTTACCCACTTTTTCTGGCGCTATGTTCTGATAAAAAGGCTTGTTTTCAATAGTTCGTGAGCTTTTTTGTGTGATAGGTCCAAAATATCGGTAGATAAAGACGATAATTCGATCATTTTTCAAATAAATTCCATACTTTTCCCTCCTCCTTTTGAAGAGTCCAATGCAGTTAAATTGCGAACGTGTGTTAATTCACCGTAATAATAACCCGGCAAATAGGATACGATTATGCCAATGTTTTTTTGAAGTGACCTAAGCTTTCGTCTAGAGGGGGGGTGGGGGGGTTGTTGTCCAAACGAAATTACTTTCGTCTCCATATGAACATTGATATTTTGACCCCGCCCCTTAGTGATAGGTTATTTTGCATTCCGATCCTTTGGAGCCTTTAACAAGAATAAATCATATCTCCAACCAATTGGGTTGACTGTTTTTCAGAGAGCCAGAAAAAAGGCAAATAAGCCTTCATTAGAAAAACCTAAACCTCCCAGTAAAAAGGAACTGAAACGCGAACATAACAGACGAGAAAAGGTAATTCTTAATAAATAAGTGACACCTTTAAAATTCTTGTGTCAAAATTATATATGCACACAGTTTGTTGTTCTTTTATTTAAATTTTTCCACATAACAAATTTTTGATTGGAATATCAAAGTAATAAAAGAAACTACAGTTCAAAATAGACAATGGCTGTAAATGAAATACATTTTCTCATACTTAATCTAAATATCTTTCTGATGATAATCAATCAACTGATTATCTAAATACAAATTGGTTCTCTTTAGTTCACTTGTAATCACTCCGCAACTAGTATAAGCTGTATATTTCGATTCTGATCAGTGTGGGGTTCATTCTTATTCAGGAGATAAAAGAGATCAGTCTTCAGCTAGAAAAAGACCTTGCGGAAAAGAGGAAAAAACAGAAACAGGAAGAGTTGAAACCTGTTGACTCTCCCAAAGCAAGGTACAAGATTTATTGAGACCTTTATTTGTGACTTATCTGAGGTTCTTACTCCTAAAATGTAGCCACTAGCCAATCAGAGGCTTTTACTCTTCAAATGTTGAGTGAGAACTTTCATATGGTGACTAATCAGAGGAAACATATCTATTAATGTTAACCAATCTGAGATTTTTACCATTTGAAATGTGACCAATCCTGTATGGTAGCTATAAATAGATGTCAAGAACGAAAATCTGCTATTGTAAAATGTTGTTGTGTTTGGTAGTCGGTGTCTGTAACAAATGGTAGGTGGTGACATTTTGCATGTTAATGGTCTATGGCTGTTATATAGGTGCACACGGTCCTCAAAAGAGGAATATACTGATATGTATGCATTCCCTCAAATTGAACAACCAAAGATTGACTTCGATGAAGAAGAAAGCAAAGATAAGAAGAAAGAAAAATTGAAAAGGAAAAAAGAAGCAAAGCTGAATGTTAGTACTTTAAATAATGGATATTCTTTCTGTCATTGTATTAAATATTTTGTGTCACATTAATTCAGAACTATAGAAGTCCAAATAGTTAATAAAATAATATTTTAGGCTTAGTTCAATGCTAGATCACCAAACTGTTGTGATCTATGTATTTTTCACTTAAAAAGCAACAGACACAAATATCTTGTACATATTTTAGAGGAAGCAGCTAAAAATCCAGACAGCACAGAACCAGTACAAAATCCAAGCACCATATTCTCCAACTCTTGATGAACAATACACTCCACTCTTTGAACAGGAGGATGACAGTAAGGAGCCAAAGCTAACTGAGGGAGAAAACAATGATGTTTGTTATGGGAACAGTAGTCATGGTGACCAGAAAAGTGATAGGGATAAACATTTGAGGGATTTTCTTGCAAAGGCAAAAGCACAAAGACAAAAGGCAACACACTCTAAAGATGAGGTAAGCCCATGGACAATTTTTCTCATGATTTATGATTGTTTCATATGTGGAGAGTGGAAACAAGTTTTACATTAAGTCTCTAATTTCCATGATTTGATAATTCCTATTTTGTGTTATTTTACAATGACATCTTCAATGGCCTCTTCAATGTTACTTTTCGTGTCATCACAAGAACTGGTGACATATTGTTATAGTCTCCAACTTTTTTATGGATGGGGTTTGGCGTCTGAACAGTGTCCAGTGGTCAGCATCTGTAACAAATGGCATGTTAATGTCTTGTTTACCCCCCTATCACACCAAACTAGTTCTTACCCGTTCTTGCCAGTCCTACGAAAACGTCGTAAAACGGGCTCAATCTGGCTGTGGTCGGGAAATATGTCTGAAATAATTAGCTTCTTCGTTCTTAAACAGTCTTCAATACGTCCATCTCGTTCACAGTTCGTTCAGGTCGCACCACGTCGGTGTGCAATGTCGTAGAACGCGTCCCTTAGTGTAGAAGGTCAACATGACCTGATTACAGAACGGTATGGTCGCCATCAAATTTTGAATCGATTCAAAATCACATTCCCGTCTGAGAACGTTCATAAAGTTCGTAAATAGACCTTAGGAAGTTGCAGCTACGTTCATTCCGTTCGCACACAGTTTAAAACCAGTTTTAAAGAACGCAGTGGCAACTTGTTTGGTGTGATAGCTATATTTTTGCTAACTCGTTCATAAGCAGTATTAGATACGTTCTTAATCAGTTTAAACCCGTTTGCAATTAGTTCTACCTCGTTCTCAACACGTCCTCAGACAGTTCAACTCGTTGTTAAAACGTCCCTAGTAGGATTGAAGTACGACGATTCCGTTCGTAGTACGTCCAGCTCGTCGTTAGTACGTTGTCACACGTTCTAATTGTAGAACGTGACGATCACGAGAACATTTTGAGCATTGTCTAAGTTCTAGAGGACCTACCCGTTCGAGTACGTTCGATGAAGTTTGTAAATAGATCCCAAACTGTTCTTACGAGGGGTGATCAATAAGTAATGGACGCTTTTTTACACAGATGCTTTTTATAGACCAATCCCTTTGATTTTCTTACCAGTGATACGTCATTCAATTATCTATCAACTCTGAAGATTTGAAAACAAAACATGTAATATATTTTGATATATCTTTATTTCCGTGAAGGATGTGTAGGTACCCCGGGACCGACATTTACGTCAAACATTCTAAAGCTATTTTAACTTGTTTAACATGCAATGCAGTTGAATGCAGGCTGAACAAAACAAACCATTATGGTCATGAATTACCCCATTTTGTTATGTGATAGTTGATTTTGAATATTTTATCATCACTATGTGGTATTCATGCCACATTCATTCCACAGGTCCCTCTACATAGGTTCAATCAAATGCTACATGTACACAATTACTCATCCTCTTAACTCGCAAGATTGTGAGACAAGGCTGAATCCATTCTCTGACATGGTAGCAAGATGCAGTTGCACGGGTTGTTTTATTTCATCAATGGCAATAAACCTGCATCCTTTCTCTATAGAAATAAGTAGTATAGAAATAAATAAGTCTCATGTGAGCAGATCTGCACAATATGGTGCATTGGCCAAGAGCTCAATTTTGAGGTCCAGGGATATTGTTTTCTGAACATTTTGAGATCTGTGGGCAGGTGCATTGTCCATATGGAGTAGGGTGTTCCCTTCTCTCACCACCCCTTTCTTCCACAATGCTTTCTCAAATTGACCTGCAAACCCCTTCCATACAACACTCTGACATCACAATACTTTCTGTTTATGTGTTACCAGTCAGCAAAAAATGTCAAACAACACAACACTTGTTGCATATAAAAAGTTCAAATCTAACTGAAATTTGCCAAACTGGCTAAAAACTGAATATATGACGTAAATGTCGGTCCCGGGGTACCTGTAACTCCTTCACGGAAATAAGGATATATCAACATATATTATATATTTTGTCTTCAAATTTTCAGAATTGATAGATAATTGAATGATGTATCACTGGTAGGAAAATCAAAGGGATTGGTCTATAAAAAGTATCTGTGTAAAAAAGCGTCCATTACTTATTGATCACCCCTCGTAGTAGGTCCAGTCCGTTCGTACACAGTTGAAGCCCATTTTCGAGAACGTAGTGAGAACTAGTTTGGTGTGATAGTAGGGTTACTTTTTTCAGAATCAAAATCCTGCAGTGCAATCTTTACCAAAACAACCAAGATCAATGCCCTCTATTGAGCACAATCGTAAAGCTCTACTAGACATCCACATTCAGCGCTACAACAATCTAATGAAGGTATATATTCTATAGACAGATTTATTTGTTACCTATTTACCTCCTGCATAATTCCCTGGTTCTCTTGTTTTTGATAAGTCTGTCTTCCTCTTGAGAATCCTTATTTCTCAGAGACTGATGTCATCTTTTTTTTTTTTGACCAGCATTCAGTGTCGACATTTAGTGTCAACATTTATCAAACTTTTACACCTCTTTTTTGTAATTGTTGACAGGTATGAATTATGTGTGGTCACAGTGTTCCTCATATATGGTTTTAGGATCAGCCAAGGAGGCATACAGAGCAGCAATTAGAGGAGGAAAGACGTAAGGAGAGGGAAGCAGGAAAACAGAGACATCAGGAAGAACTTGATCGTTTGAGAAGCACTCATAAAGTACCTACACTTTGATACTCTTGTTTGTTTGTTTTTCTTGATCATCATTCAGTATGTTACTGTTGACTAACCTTATGTAGATGTATTTATGATTAAATTTTTACATGAAAATTACATGATTAATAATAATAATAATATATGATTTAATTTTAAATGACCATAGTGCTGTATCCTGTATACATGTATCACAAATAGTGAATCATTCTTTCTATTGTATTTTTAGGAAGTATTATGTAAGTTGTTGCAGTCCCTTGTTTTGTTTTTATTTTGGTGCAATTTTGTCAACAAATCTGTATAGAGTAACATATTTCTTGCATGTTCCATGTGTGCTTTGAAGTAATATCCCCTAATGTGAAGTAGTCACCTATCATCTGTGTAAAGTGTGACCTGTGTGTGTACTTTGAATTGTGTAAAAATGTAACCCTTGTGTGTACTTTGAATTTTGATCTTTCATGTTCTTTCATTGACCCCTCATATGTACTTAAAAGTGTGATGATCCTTGTGCTTACCTTGAAATTTGATCTTTCATGTGCAATTTGAAATGTGACTCTATGTGAACTTTGGATTTTGACTTTTTGTGTGTAGTTTTAAGTGTGCCCACCTTATGTTTGCTTTGTAGTGAGCCACCTACTGTGGACTTTAAATTGTGACATTTCATGTCCATTTCAGGGTTGACCCTCTTATTATGTGCTTTGTAGTGTTACTCTCACATGTTTTTTGACCCCCTCATATTCAGTAAAAACATGATGCTTTTGGTTTTTATTTTTTTTATTTATTTATTTACAATACATACAATATTACCATGAATCTTTTTCAAAATTATGAATTGCTTTCAAACATGATAAATCTTTACCAACAAATACTTTTTAATGATGAGGCTCCGCGGCATCTTTTGATCATGAAGCAAAACCTAATTTTTCTCCCCAAGTTCTACTTATGCCTGTGTGTACTTTGCTTCAGAGGGAATTTGAGGACATGAAGAGTGCTCAACATTTCAAGGAACTTGAGTGGGATAAACAAAGGAACTTGGATGAGGTGTTTGAACTGCAAGCAGAAAGTGGCTTAGATGATATAGCTGCTAAATATGGGGCAGTTCCCAAGTCAAAGCCTGTAAAATCAAAGTGAGTGTTATCATTGAATGGAATGAAAAGAACAGCCAAAAACTTTGTACTGAAGAGTTAAACTGACAATGTCAAGGATTTTAGAGTTGGGGAGTATCATCTATTTTATTCTGAATGGCCTAAATTGGATTGTGGTTCAATACAAACATTGGTTGGACATCCTCCAACTTAACCACACCATACTATGAAATAAATAAGCCTGTCTGTTTTTATGTTACTATCACAAGTTATGGCATATTGTTATAATCTCCAACTTTTTTGTGGATTGTGTTCGGTGTCTGTAACAGCTTTCAACGGTCAGTGTCTGTAACAAATGGTAGGTGGTGACATTTTGCATGTTAATGCCTTGCTATAGAAATCTTCTGTTTTTTCCATTCAGAAAGCCACAGAAGGAATCTGGGAAGAATACATATTGGAAATCTGTGAACGATGTGCCAGATTTAATTGAAGTTCCAACTCATGATACAACAGCCTTCAGCCCAAACAGACCAAAACGTTGTGCTACAGACCTTCCATACTCTGAGGTGGCCAAGAAGAAGTCAACTAAAGTTGATTTTGTGGCTGGTAAGATTTTGTATAAATTTGTATAAAAGCACATACACTGTAGCATTTTTAGCAAGTAAAGTCTTTTGATACACTAATTCTTGGTTTAGCTAGGTGGTGATATTTTTAGCTAGTTATCGAAATATGAACAGAGTGTGAGGAAAATCTCTTCAGTCTCCCAAAGTCTGTATAAAATGTTTCTAAATTTTGATTTTCTAGCCCCAAGACCTGCGGAGAATATCTGGCTGCGACGTAATGAGACAATGGCGATGTTGCAACCCATGGACGCTCAAGATGAGGAAGCTCAGCTCTGTAAGGCATTAGAACTCAGCATGCAGACTGCAATACAAGAGGAGGCAAGAGCCAGAGAAAGGTATACTTGAAGTTAAACTTAAATGCAGCAGTGCTGCAGCGACGCTCTGAAACAACTGTTTGTAATCACTTCAAAGGTTCTATGGCCTTTTTCTCGACAAATTCAAATTACATTACACTGCTACCCTGTCATATGTGACTACAGTTTGTGACCATGGTAAAGCTGCAGTGTCTATATAAAATGGCCATAGAAATTTTAGAGCCTACAGTTGCTACAGCAAATGTGATTGAAACATAAAGTTACAAGAAATAGCCAATTGATTTTTTCATGATAATGGCCAAATAAGAATTGGCCCTCCTTTTTATGTCCCCACCACATAGTGTGGGGCCATATTGTCGTCCTAGGCGCGTCCGTCCGTCCGTCTGTCTGTCTGGTTGTCTGTCTGTCCGTCCGTCCGTACGTCCGGCAGTTTTCTCCAAAACCGCTACAGGTATCACCTTCAAATTTTCAGGAATAACTTGTGAGTGCATACAGATGTAGATGAAAAAAAATTAACTCGATAGCTACTTCCTGTCGGCCATTTTGAGGTCAAATGCTAAAATCCTTGTCTGCAAACTTTAAGAAAAACGGCTTCACAGTTGCTTTTAAAACTTTAACATCTTGTTCAGCTCACTTCATTCTACATCTGATTAGGTTTTGGACCTGTTAGCCCAGTCATGTTAGCCATTTTGAATGTCTGAAGAAAAGTTAGTGCGCGATAATACTTTGTATCATATTGAATGGTGTTTTTGAGTTTTCATACTTTAACTATTTAGTAGCTTTATAAATAATTCCAGGTGTACTTTGTTGAAAAAGCCTATGTTATTGTTAACAGTAGTTATATGTGATAATTTTGTAAAAGGAAATCAGCAAAAACTCGTAATCACTTTTTTATTGTCGGCCATTTTGGTTTTTTCCGTCCTAAAATCTTGTCTGTAAAGTCTTGTCTACACGTTTTCAGGTGAAGCGTTTGGAAGATCAATTTCAAATTTTCAGGGATGAATCTTAGTATGAATATCTAGATCTGATTAGTTTTTTGGCGTTCTGGGTAAATGTCAAGGCAGCCATTTTGGATTTTCTGTCCTAAAATCTTGTCTGTAAAGTCTTGCCTACGCATTTCCAGGTGAACCGTTTGGTAGATCAATTTCAAATTTTCAGGGATGATTCTTAGTATGAAAATCTAGATCTGATTAGTTTTTTGGCGTTCTGGGTAAATGTCAAGGCAGCCATTTTTGATTTTCCGTCCTAAAATCTTGTCTGTAAAGTCTTGTCTACGCATTTCCAGGTGAACCGTTTGTTAGATCAATTTCAAATTTTCAGGGATGATTCTTAGTATGAAAACCTAGATCTGATTAGTTTTTTGGCATTCTGGGTAAATGTCAAGGCAGCCATTTTGGATTTTCTGTCCTAAAATCTTGTCTGTAAAGTCTTGTCTACGCGTTTTCAGGTGAACCGTTTGGTAGATCAATTTCAAATTTTCAGGGATGATTCTTAGTATGAAAATCTAGAACTGATTAGTTTTTTGACATTCTGGGTAAATGTCAAGGCAGCCATTTTGGATTTTCCATCCTAAAATCTTGTCTGTAAATTCTTGTTTAACTGTTTGACGGATCAATTTCAAATTTTCAGGGGTGGTTCTTAGTATGAAAATCTAAAACAAGCTAATTTTTGGGGATTCTGGGTAAATTTTAAGGCGGCCATTTTGGACTCTCCGTCCTCAAATTGTGTCAGTAAAGTCTTGTCTACTCATTTTCAGGATAACCAATTCATGGGATCACCCATTGGTGGGGACATATTGTACACATTTGTGTTCTTGTTCTCAATATGTGTCCTTCTTTAATGTCAGTTTACAACAAAATATGAATTAAAAATTGTTGAGTAGCTTTAATTATTGACCTTGTATAATGTTGCCATTTGAGTTTTGTTATTGCACAATACAATTTCCAGGATCGCTGCTGAGAAAAAGAAACAAATTCCTCCTACCATACCTTCAAGCCAGTCATCAGCCACTAACACCCGGAATCAGGAATCCACAATGCCAGCCACACTCAAGCAAGCTCCAGTCTCTATCACCAATCAACTGCAAAGAGCTCCAATTACCCATGAAACTGTGGGTAAAAATGATCCGATTGCTGAAAAAACTGAGCCGCAATCTATAAAAGTGGATGAAACTGAACCAAGTTGTATCAGTGTGAATAACGCAGATGAAAATGCCTCATGTAGTAGTTCAAGTCAGGAGTATAAGGATGCTACAGATAAATTAGATGAGTTGCCATGGCTACCTGGATCAGATGAATACATCTCTGGGGTTGAGAAATGGTCAGGTGTTGATAGCATAGATGATGCTCTAGGAGGTGAGTAATCATCATAAACTGAGTAGTGATTTGGTCTGACCAAGAAGTGGTGTTACATTGTTATAGCTACCACTTTTCTGGTATTTGGCTGTAATTGCTATTGCCATTTGGCATCTGTCACAAATATCTGTTGTTCCATTGGCTATCTCTTCCTAGATCATTACACCTAGGGTCAACAAACTTAGTTTCATCTCATATTTATATATCATATTGGTGAAATGAAATATGTACATGTAAAATGTATTTTATACTTGATATAATTATACACATTCTACCATGGAGATATATGTATTTATAAATATATGTATTTTGCATAAAATCTAGAATAAAAAAGTTTTCATGTTATTTTTCAGAACCTTTAGCCTCATCTGAAGCAACCCCCTACTATGCAGCATCATCAGGTCATGTTAACCTTGACTTGACCTTGACCACTGACAGTGAAGACATGCCCCCTCTGTTGGATATGGATGATACTACTGAACCACCATCTTTGCAGGGTGGTATTGAAAGGTGAAGAAAATTAGTGAATTTGATAATGTGCTATGTAGTGTAGAACATTAATCCCATGTCTTTATTAATTAAACATTTTGATTGTTTGGAGATAAATGAGAAATGTAGATATTATTATTATGTGATGAATCAATATCATTTTTTATGTCACCACCAAAAGTGGTGACATATTGTTATGGTCTCCGTTTTTTTGTGACGGCGGTTGGTGGTTGGCGTCCGGCGTCCGGCGGTTGGCGTCCGGCGTCTGTAACAATTTCTTACAACTTCCTATAACTTAACAAATACTGTTTAGACTGACTTCAATTTTTTTCTAAATCATCTACATGTTCTCAGAAGTTCAAATCTGACTTTAGATTTGACATTTGACCTTCAATGACCTTCTCAAGGTCAAAAAGGTCTTTTTTCAACTTGCTTCACATTGACTAAATTTTTTTTCAAAATCATCTACATGTTCTCAGAAATTCAAATCTGACTTTAGATTTGACATTTGACCTTCAAATTTGACTTAAGATTTGACATTTGACCTTCAATGACCTTCTCAAGGTCAAAAAAGGTCAAAAAGGTCTTTTTTCAACTTGCTTCAAATTGACTAATTTTTTTTTTCAAAATCATCTACATGTTCTCAGAAATTCAAATCTGACTTTAGATTTGACATTTGACCTTTAATGACCTTCTCAAGGTCAAAAAAGGTCAAAAAGGTCTGTTTTCAACTTGCTTCAAATTGACTAAATTTTCTTTTCAAAATCATCTACGTGTTCTCAGAAATTCAAATCTGACTTAAGATTTGACATTTGACCTTCAATGACCTTCTCAAGGTCAAAAAAGGTCAAAAAGGTCTATTTCCAACTTGCTTCAATTTGACTAAACATTTTTTTTCAAAATCATCTACGTGTTCTCAGAAATTCAAATCTGACTTTAGATTTGACTGAAGATTTGACATTTGACCTTCAATGACCTTCTCAAAGTCAAAAAAAGGTCAAAAAGGTCTTTTTTCAACTTGCTTCAAATTGACTAAATTTTTTTTTCAAAATCATCTACATGTTCTCAGAAATTCAAATCTGACTTTAGATTTGACATTTGACCTTCAATGACCTTCTCAAGGTCAAAAAAGGTCAAAAAGGTCTGTTTTCAACTTGCTTCAAATTGACTAATTTTTTTTTCAAAATCATCTACATGTTCTCAGAAATTCAAATCTGACTTTAGATTTGACATTTGACCTTCAATGACCTTCTCAATGTCAAAAAAGGTCAAAAAGGTATTTTTTCATCTTGCTTCAAATTGACTAAATTTTTTTTCAAAATCATCTACATATTCTCAGAAATTCAAATATGACTTTAGATTTGACTTTAGATTTGACATTTGACCTTCAATGACCTTCTCAAGGTAAAAAAAGGTAAAAAAGGTCTTTTTTCAACTTGCTTCAAATTGACTAATTTTTTTTTTCAAAATCATCTACATGTTCTCAGAAATTCAAATCTGACTTTAGATTTGACATTTGACCTTTAATGACCTTCTCAAGGTCAAAAAAGGTCAAAAAGGTCTGTTTTCAACTTGCTTCAAATTGACTAAACATTTTTTTCAAAATCATCTACGTGTTCTCAGAAATTCAAATCTGACTTTAGATTTGACTTAGATTTGACATTTGACCTTCAATGACCTTCTCAAAGTCAAAAAAGGTCAAAAAGGTCTTTTTTCAACTTGCTTCAAATTGCTTCAAATTTTTTTTCAAAATCATCTACATGTTCTCAGAAATTCAAATCTGACTTTAGATTTGACATTTGACCTTCAATGACCTTCTCAATGTCAAAAAAGGTCAAAAAGGTATTTTTTCATCTTGCTTCAAATTGACTAAATTTTTTTTCAAAATCATCTACATGTTCTCAGAAATTCAAATATGACTTTAGATTTGACTTTAGATTTGACATTTGACCTTCAATGACCTTCTCAATGTCAAAAAGGTCTTTTTTCAACTTGCTTCAAATTGACTAATTTTTTTTTCAAAATCATCTACATGTTCTCAGAAATTCAAATCTGACTTTAGATTTGACATTTGACCTTTAATGACCTTCTCAAGGTCAAAAAAGGTCAAAAAGGTCTGTTTTCAACTTGCTTCAAATTACTCAGATGCGAGTAGGTAGTTACCAGTTTCGCCACCAGGTGGCTGAGTCGGGGGAAATAACATGGCAGGGTATTACAAAATTCCCTTAAACTTGAATATTCATCAGTTTTAGTGGTTCAGTTTTCATATTACCTTTTTGTATCTGATAGTTATACAAATTAAAATATGCCCAGTAAAAAAAGATATTATCTGCCCAACACAAGAAAAGATATTTCACTTTTTGTGATTTTACAACAAGGGCTCTATGGGGAATCTCCCCGACCTAGAAGTCACATTTTCAAAGAAAATTAAATTTTCAAAGTTGATTAACTCTTTTCAAAACCACATTTCTAGATGTAATTCTACATGTAGATTCCAAATATGACATCAGTTTGACTGAATTTTGAATCTTTGATGACGTAAATCAAGATTGTTTTTACTCGCATCTAGTCTATTGACCAAATTTTTTTTTCAAAATCATCTACATCTTTTCAGAAGTTCAAATTTGACTTTACAAGTTCTCAGAAATTCAAATCTGACTTAAGTTTGAACTCATAATATTTTGAGCAACTAGGTGGTGACATTTTGTCATGTTAATGCCTTGTTTGATAATTGCATGACAAATGACCATGTTCATATTTCACAAACATTTTTAATATTTTGTCTGCATTCAGTATTCACCATATTTTAGACCTCAATGATGCTACTTGTATTTTTGGTTGAATTCTTTGAACCTTGAAAATTATTTCAGGTTGAAAATTTTGTGTTTTACTCATCAATAGAATATTGATACAAATGCAATATAAGATAAAAATTAATGCAAGACATCTTATTTTTAGCAAAGTATACTCACCTGATAAGTTTTTCTCTTTGAACTGAGAACTCTTAATTATGTGAATCTTCAAACTCAAACATATTCATTATTTTGAGATGATTTCTCTAGTGTATGGGGTCCAGTAGATTCACAGGGAGCAAATAATCGTGGAGCATTTGGTGGAGGGGATCAGCCTCGCTATGGATCCAAGATGGCAGACTCTGTAGAGGAAGATGATGCAGAATTACAGAAAGCTATCATGCAATCCTTGTCATCTCGAAAAGATGGTATGTAATGCTATATTATTTGCTATACTTTACTTATGTACCATTACAAAATTTGAAATATTATTTTAGGTGGTTTATCGAAAACAACAGAAATCTTTGAAAGATATATCAGGCCTAAAGTCCTTTAGTTAAAACACCCAAGAATGCGTTGTCACTTTATTTTATGCTAATTGCTATTTACTGATATGACCACACAACTGAGAGTATATTTTACCTGTTTGTAGACAAGTTCCCAAAGGATACTAAAGATGGCGTTGATGATGACTGTGAGGAGATGCCCTTGAACCTTGACCTCAATCCCCAACCAATCAAAGACCATATGATGGGGGCATTGAGTAATTTTGGCAATTCAGTCCCAGTCCCCATGTTAGAGAATCCCTTATACAGTCATCAGCTCAACCTTCAAACTCCCCAGAATAACTCTGAAAACTATTCAAAGCCTACCCAGCAAGATGTGCAATTTCATATGGAGCCTATACCAAATAGTGGATTTTCCAGGCCATGTCTAACCCCCTGTGACCCTGTTAGTGATCAACCAGATCATATTTTGAAGGGAGACTTGAGAGATAGCATTCCAAATGCATTGATGCAAGATCTGAAGGATGCCTTCCAACAGGGTCCCCTTAACATGCCCAGACCAGAGGATCTCATCAGTAAAAAGGAACAACCAGCACAACACTTAGGTTCATGCCAGCAGTCTCAAGTGAACAGCTCTATCCAGTCTCAAAGTGCAGTTCAACAGGGTTACAATGAGCAGTATAGTCTATCACAATTGCAGCAGGGCATCAATTCAGTGCACCAGGGTCAAACTTCAGTGCAACAAGGCCTTTATCCACCGGAACAGGGTCATATCCCAGGACAACAGGGCCAAACTACACGGCAACATGACTCTTTTCTAGTGCAACAGGGCCAAATTCCAGTACACCAGGGCTCTTTTCCAATGCAGCAGGGCCAAACTACAGTGCAACATGGCTCTTTTCCAGTGCAACCGTGCCATATTCCACTGCAACAGGGCTCTTTTCCATTGCAGCAGGGCCAAACTGCAGGGCAACAAGGCTCTTTTCCAGTGCAACAGGGCCATATTCCACTGCAACAAGGCCAAACTACAGGGCAACAAGGCTCTTTTCCAGTGCAACAGGGCCATATTCCACTACAACGAGGCCAAGCTACAGGGAAACAAGGCTCTTTTCCAGTGCAACAGGGCCTAACTTTTGGGCAACAGGGCCATGTTCAAGGGCAATATGGCCTTAATCCAGCCCAAAACGAGTTGGAGCAACTTCAACAGGTTTATTTTAGTCAACCACATACTTCTAATCATACAGCACCATATGCATATAGTCAAGCAACCTTTACTAATCAGCAGTATAACCCAGGTAATGTGGATCCTAAACTACCAGGTATGCAACATGAGGCAAGCCAGCCTTTATACTACAATCAATCAAATTCAGATCCATCAAATCCATCTTGCAGAGGCAGTTCAGAGCAGCAGTATTATCAACAGAAACCTCATGGTCAGTTTAGACCAAATGTCACCTCTTCACAACAGTATTATCAACAGAAATCCCAGGAACTAGGGCCAGAACAACAAGATTTCAATCAGCAATCTCAAGACTACAAAGAGTCAAAAGTCCATTTGGACCAACAGTATTATCAACAGAAATCTCAGGAACAACAAGAGCCAGAGCAGCACGTTTTCAATCAGCAATCTCAAAACTATAAAGAGCCAAATGTCAATTTGGACCAACAGTATTATCAACAGAAATCTCAGGAACAAAGTCTGTCTGAGAAACAAGATTTCAATCCAGAGGTCACTATAGGTCATCAGTATTATCAGCAGAAATCTCAAGAGTCAACAGTTAAACTAAATCAAGAGGTTAATCTACAGGGAACTAGTCAACATTTACCCACACCAAAATCTTGCCAACCAGGTGCCAAAGCTTCACTTTCGGATCCTGCAACAGTAAGCCAGCAACCAAACATTTCCACAGGGCCTATTGAAGCAAACCCAGCTCTTGAAATCAAACCATCCAAAAGTTCCATTGCCAACTATCTTCCCCCTCCCCCTATGGAAAGTGAGACTGACTCACCAAAGATAGATGGTGGTGATATGTCCACAAATGATGCCATGCCACATGGTGGTCTATCTCTCAGTGACATGAAATCTAATGAGTCTCCAGTACCTACACTGGTTCCTCCAAACACTCCTGCTACACCATTCACTGGTACGCCTGCACCCTGTTTAGGTATCAATGACTTGTTAAAACGACTTGACATGAGAAATAGTGTTCCCCAGTCTTCACCATTGGCTGACCCAGCAGTCATGGCTGTTGTTACTCAAAACAATTCATCTGGAAGCAGTTCTCCAAAACAAGTTCCTTCAGTCAGTTCAGGATTACCAAGCATAAATGCTGTGAATTTGAATTCACCATCTCCAAATATGCCAGCTCTTGGTTCAGAAGCCTCATTCATGGCCTCAAATGGTACACAAAGTTTGCAGAATCTTCAACTTTTGAACCAATTGGGTGGAGCTCAGATGTTTGCAGCAGGCAGTCGGCCATTGGATCCCCAACAACAGCAGCAAATGCAGAACAGTATAGAGCAGCAACTGCACCAATTGAAGTCAACGATGGAACCAAGAATGCAGGCTTTGCTGCATAATAGTTTCAGTCCCCTGTTGCAGCAACAAATAGATCAGCAGGTTCTTAAGAATGCCCTAGATCCAAGGATGCAGCAGCAGATCATTGATCCCCAGATCCAGGTACCTAGGAATACCCTAGATCCAAGAATCCAGCAAATGCTACAAGTACCAAGTTTAGATACCCAGTCTCCTCCTCAGGGTTTACTTGATCCAAGAATTCAACAGATGCTGTCTCAAAAAATATTTGATCCACAAGTGCTTTCTAATAATCTCAACCCTCAAATCCAACAATTGTTACAAACCCTTACTGGGCAACCAATGCAAAATACCATAGATCAACAATTACAGATGCCAACAGAGCAAGTCTTAAATCTTCAGGGAATTTCCAATACCCTGGATCCAAGGGTGCTACAATTGATGCAGTCTCTACCTGACTTACCTAAGATCCCCCAATCAATGCCCCCATTTCAGATACCTGGTATACCAGTGCTGGGTGTCCCTCCTTCAACAGCAAACCAGAGCCCAATCTTTGCATACTCCCAACAACTGCTATACAATCAACCACAGACAGGTATTGATCAACAGAAAGACTCCAGCCAGAAGCAAGAGCCTTTTCAGGTAAACAAGGCATGTCAAAATGATGCCAATGAACCATCTAGGGAAGCACTTGAACAACATGTTTCTCCTGAGACTGTTGCAACACACAGCCAAAAGATGGAGGCTACATCAAAACAGGACAAAACTGTTACTGAAAAACCTTCATCCATGACAACTGGTAGCGCTATAAGACATAGGATGAGAATGGGAAGGAGAAGACTCCCAGGGACCCCTGTTGTCCCTCAGAACACCGCGGAACATCCCAAGAACCAGGAACATCCCAAGAACCAGGAAGATACAGCAATGAAGGAATCAAAAATGGATGGCGAGAGGAAGGTATGTGCCATATGTATTTGCAGTGATTCTCCACAGGATTTTTTTCTCAAGTGGGTGTAACATTCTCATTTTCACAATTCAGCCCATTTTTCATGATTTTTCTCACTTTCAATTGGGTGCAAGAGGATTTTCAGGTGGGTGCAAGTCTATTATCCAAATCTCAGGTGGGTGCTGCGCCCACTTGCTTTAAAGTCCCCGTCTAAAGTTTGAAAATATTTTTTTATCATTCATTTACTATTGGTCAGGACTTAAAAAGTGATTTTAGAGATTTTTGAACAAAAAAAAATTTTTGAAAAAAAAGTTGTGAGCATTTCATTTCTCAAATATTCAAATTTCCCGCCATTTTTCAAAAAAAGTTGAAATTTCTTAATCATCAAATATTTCTTAATGCATTTCAAAAAATATTATCTTTTTAACACCAATGCAAAGGTTGAACAAAGGAAACACTATTTCAATAATAAAATGCCATATTTAATGGGCCACTTTAATGTTTTAGCATATCAAAAATATTTTGAAACATTAGTGATGTCACTAAGGTACCAAAAACTTTTTGAAAAAAATTGAAATTTTTTTTTCGATGTCAATCTTTTCTAAATATGTTAGACTTTCATAATAAACCAATGTTGATTGTCTAACCAGGTTAAAAGGAAAAATAAATTATGTTTTAGATATCATTGTACCATTGGTTTCTATGAGAACTAAAATTTTGAAATGCATTTTTCTCAGAACCATTTTCATGCACTGATAAGTTCATTTCTCGCTTATTTATGAACTGATTTTCTTAATTTTTTCGGCAGAAAACACGGGAGGATGAATGCTATGCATTGGTATGAATTGTGGCTAATTAGAAGATATGAGTGACCTCTAAAAGTTGGTTTTAAATAAATTCACAAATTTTGGAACAAAAAGTCTATCAAAAACCACTTTTTGAAATTAAAAAAAAAAGTTTCACATATCACACTTTGATAACATTGGGTAAGACTACAATATAAGCCAAAGTAGTTTAAACTTTATATGGGGCCTTTAATGCTGGGGAGATCACTGATTTGCATTAACACTATATATAATGAAGCCATGTAAGTTATCAATGGGAAGCCTCTCAGGCAAGTAAAGTATGAATAAGGATTTTACTTTGAGCATCTCGGAGTAACCCAGTGAACATCCATCAATTAAACAGGGATAAAATATAGGGTATATACAAGTAGAATATTGATAACTGATTGAATGTTGTGACTAAGGGAATCAAGAAATCTGTTCCTTCAGGAAAACCCGGCCCTATAAACCATGACACCTTCTCTTTGTAGACTGACAAACATGTACACTTTGGTAATGGTGATGGTGAACAGAATCGCTATAATATAACAGATAAAACAAAACCATATTATACATCTGTCAATCAGGTAAATGATCTTCCATATTCTTCATTATGTTGCTGAAGCAACCATAAGTCAAATTAGATTTCCTAAAATATCTGATATGAAATCTTCTGAATGTGGGTAATGACCATCCTCCTAAGCAGGTGTCCAGAATCCGTACCTCCTTCTTCCCCCTGCTATAAGCAGTTAGCATTTCCCCGATTAAGAACTCGCAATTTGATTGGCTGTCGCAACACTGCGACAGCAATCATGTATATGTCATCGGCGCATAATTAGATCACGTGATTCAGTTTAATCGGGCGCGTCCAACTTGGTTATAGCAGGGGGTAAAAAGAAAGAAGATATTCTGGATTTTGAAGCCCTGTGATCGGAGGATGGGTAATGACTGGTCCATAATAATAGATGTAAATATTGTAGGAAACAATTGTTGAACTTTTTATGTTGGTGCATTTTAGAACTTCTGTGTCAACCCCTGTACATGGGGTAATAATAAATTCAATGTTTTTTGTCCCAATGTAAAGTTTGTGAGTAGAACTAACTCCAGTTTACATTACATCATGTCAAAATCATTACTTATTCAACAAAATTATGAATTCGCCAAGCCACAAATAAATGATTTTGCTACATGAACATGTATAGTGAACTAAAACAGTAGCATAGAAGTATAGTGTTATGATTTATAACATGGTCAGAGCAATATTGATATCATCCCTATCATCCTTGTGATATTCCCCATATCAAATCCCTCCCGGTGAATAACTACTTTGTACTTATTAAACGGTTGAATATGGATGTGTATATAATATATATGTTTCAGGATGAAAGGAAGGATTCATTAGCAGATAAAAGAAGCTACTAAAAGTGTGACATGTAAAGGATTGGATTAAATGAGATTTAAGACTGGCATTTGGTGTCCTTATTCTTTGCCTGTTACATTGACAGAACTCTATTGATTTGTATCACGGACTGCGATTTTATTCTTATGGACAGATATCAAGTGTAAAAAGAAAAACAGATATCAATTGTATGATGGATATATATCTTGTGTGATATAGATGGATATTAAACTAGTGTTTAGTGGGTAGATGTTTGATGAATAGATCCCAGTACTACATGGCATTTTATTTTACTTTTTGTATTGTTTTATTGACTAGGCACACAGAATGAATATACAATGATAATTGAGCTACAATATGTGATGTTAGAAACTGAAGTTATCAGTAATGTAACCTTTCCGAGAATTATCACTATTTAGGATGTTCATAAAAATTCACAAAGGGCATTCGTAAATATTCTAAAGAAACTTTGTTTATTTAGTAATTCCTCAAATACAATATTGAAATCCAAATTCCTCTTTACAATTTGGATATACAACATGTATAGTTTTGTCTATTGCTTTTGGTACTAAACTATCAAAGTACCTCTTATGGTAGTAGAACAGTCTTGGCACTTGCTCAAAAACTGTGTTGAAACGGTGATCGCTTCAAAGATATTAGCAAAATTCATTAACTACAAAATTATTTCATTCATAAGAGAGGGGATGGAAGTTTTGTTTGGGTTAAAGTTGATTTTAGTTTTAAAAGTCCACATTCCTATTATATGTATAAGTCTTCAAATGATCCTGTAACAAAATTAAATCTTCAGTATTCCAGGTCCTCCCTATTTAGAAAGTGAGTTAAATACTGTAGATTGGGTTAATTTGGATGGCAACTTTTCCATTTTGGCATATTGGCGGCTATTTAATTTGGTGAATACTAGGGCTTGCTCTGACGCCACAACTTACATATACACTGGAAGAAAATACATAGTGTAACACCTATTCCTTCAATTCAACTACTTTATCTTGTAATTTATTGTTAAAGAAAGTCACCTGAGCTAAATTAGAAGTGATATGTTCTGATTATCACCCTTATCCTTTTCAGATTTTGTAAAAACTTAACCAAAAGTGACTTAATACACCAGACGAAAATCCCAGGGATCCTTTTTAAACTTTGGTGAAGATGTAAATTGGCATTTTTTTTCAATTTCGCTAAATTAAACCAGGCGCCAGATTAATCCAATCTACAGTATACTACACATTGAACAACCGATCACAGAGACTCTAGAATACCAACGACAACACACTGAAAAAATGTGCTTTTTCCTCATAATTTATGCTGATACATTTATGCTTACACATTTACATGTATTTCGTTTTCATGATTGTTTCAATGAAAATAGTTATGTGTTATTTTTATGGTCAACAATTTATATCAGGTAGTCTTGATTAAACAGGTATTCTCTTACAAATATATTTAGCATCAAGAAATAAGAAATACAAAACATTATAAATGAAATTAGCTCTCTTTGTTTTTTTAAATATATTCACAGTTACATGCATAGCTCCAAGAAATGTGCACAGTTGAGGAATCATCGCCTTGGGGCTTGGACCTAGACAATTTATAACTACTATACTCCTGGTAATATTGGAAAGTATTATACAGTATTAAACATTCTGCACTATTCTGTTGTTGTTAATTTTCTTATCAATTTGCTCAAAAAAAATACTCAGATTTTATCCAACTAGCCTTTTTAGTTCGAGAATTAAAGACTTTTAAGGCCTATACTAATTGGCAAGATACTTGAATAAGGTATAACAGTTTTAAAAGAGTGACAAAAACAAAAAATAATTGGAAATTATGCCAGGATGTGAGGATCACAGGAGTTGTCATCTTATTATTAGACAGTATTTAGCTTGAGCTCTAATTAAAGATAGCAGCACAATACAAACTCAGTTTATACAAACTCAGTTTATTTGCCTTTGCTCTAATGCTTCTATTACCAACACAAAGATGGCAGCACTAAAAACTTGTACTTGATTATTGCAAAAAGTTGACTTGAATATTCCAGGATACTGTATTTTTTCTCATTTGACAAATATTCAAATTAGTATGCCTAACTATAATGATTTTAGACCAGATTTGTTTTTTATTTATTTATTAAACGCATATAAATATATTTACGTAACAGTGATCCCAGGGGATGTATGGCATATCACAATTTAGTCCCAGATGAATATTACAAACATTTGTTGGAATTCAACTTAAAAAGCCCTTTCACTGTCTGAGCCTGTGCTTGCAGACAAGATTTAATTTTGTTATTCGTAGTAACACTTCTTAAAAAATTAAGTGTGCTGTTGCACTTTGTTTGGAATTAAACCCTTAATTTGCTACTATTACATTAAAATGTGTTAATTGGAACACCTCTCAGATGGAACACCTAAAATAGAACACACGAGCCTTGCCATCCATTTAACTTGACTTCTGTAAGTGGAACACCTCCAAAATGACTTGAGGTACCAAAGGTGTTCCACTTACACAGGTTTTACTGCACAATGCACATAGGTTACAGATAGCTATATTGTTCTTGTTTATGTCTTATTCTGGTCATGCCATTTTAAATTGATGTATTTTTATTTATTTATTCCAAACTGATTGCACAAAGTAGCACACTAAACTTTTTTTTATAAATGCACATATATTCAAATGAGGATGAAAAAGAGAAATCTGGAGCTTTCTTCTAATTTTATCCCCAAGAAACTGTCTTAAAACGCAGCTCTTTATGTTTAAAACAATTTCAAAATACACAGATGAGTTCCTCTTGTAGATCTATCTATTTCAACTACTGGTATCACATATGTTCCTTCACAGTTGTATTTACTTTGGGTAATGATGCTTCCAGTTTTCAGGCTATACAACTCAATTATTTTATTGCAGGGGATTTCGCGTGTGGCACACGCGCCAGTGATATCAATGTCTCAAGTGGGGATCGATCATTTTCTTCATCAGAGTATGTTATTACTATTTGTTTGATATTTGAATTCCAATAATCAGAGATGTACAATTTATTAGAATTTGTGAAGAATGCAGAAACATATTTTGGAAACAGTTAATAAGATCATGACATTTCAGGTGGCATTTGTTTTATCGAGCTCTTTGCAATAGCATTGATTAATAAGAAGATGATCGATCCCTAATTGATTGACGCATGCGCATTGAACTTCTAGAAATTTATTCTTGTTTGACAGACTTGATTGACTTTCTACCAACTCGCAAGTTCTTAGAAGTTTTATTGAGCGAATTCAGTTTATTTATGGAAAAAGTGGATTTCAAAGTGCCGCTCATTGGCAGGAATAGCCTTGTTGCTTTGAACTAAAAGTTGACTTCACTTTTAAACTCCATGGAAAAGTTTTCAATTTTGCGGCACTCAGCAAAATTCGCAAGTTATAAAAGAAGGATAGCATTTATTTAAAAGACGGATTTTACACGCCAGACATTATGACAATTTTTCATTTGATCACATTTTCACTTTTAGTGGACTTCACTATTGCATTAGGATTTTTTGATCTACAAATCTTGACTGTGAGAAATAGTCGCGGTGAATTATCTAACGGGAATTGTTGTGATGGAAAACGTGATGCCTCTGGAGGTTGCCCCGATGAATGTGAAACTTACTTCAAATTTTGTCTAAAGGAATACCAGGCACAGGTAGCTGCAGACGGAAAATGTGCCTTTGGAAATTTAACGGGACAAGTTCTTGGAGGGAATTCATTTACATTTACTGCAGATAGTAATACAGACCGCACCCTGATGATTCTTCCCTTCGATTTCGCTTGGACGGTAAGGGCATTTTTTGAATATCATGTTTTTTACCATACAGTTAGTTGATTTGTCGCAAATCAGTGAACCATGAATTTCTGACTTGCAATTATATAAAGTGTCAAATTGGTAAGCTTATTTTCAGCAAAAGTATGGGGTAAATGATCCCTTGTGGTTAAAATTATTTTTACATTATATCTAGTTAATGAAAACACAGGATGAAATCATTTATACATATTTAATATTCAGCATAGTGCACTGATGTTCCTTTCAGTGATCTCGCCAGCATTAAAGCAAGTGGGCGCAGGACCCACTTGAGATTTTGAAAATAGGCTTGCACCCACTTGAAAACCCATTTGCACTCTCTTGAAAATCATGAAAAATTGGCATAATTTAACCAATTTTGGTTTGAATTGTGAAAATGAGAATTGCGCACCCTCTTGAGAAAAAATCCTGTGGAGATCACTGCACTTTACAACATTCTATTGTTCATGGGCTTGTAGAAAATAAGTCCCTGTCTTTAGTTTATCAGCCCTGCAATCATTATATTTTTGCATTTCATATAAAAACTGAATTGACAAGATTTATTATTTCATGTTGAAACTCATCGTTACTATGAGAGGGGTCATACATTATCTATGTACCTTTATTTTAGTCAGATGAGTTTAAATTGCAGTTTAATGCTCAGCTCCTGGAAATATGGCCAGTTCCTCATTGAATACTCAGAAGATCAACACAATATGAGCCTTATTTTTGTGCTTTGCATCAGACTGTATAGAAGGATATTGACTTATGTTGTGTCTGGGGATGAAGAAAATCATGTTTGTTATGTTGATGTACAGCAATAAAAACATACTGCGCATGTTATATTTTTCAGTTCTTATAGGTCAAAGAAAAATTAGCTATCCAGTAAATATTTGTAACCTTTTCCTAGTAAGTTAATGTGCACCTGTCTCTTTGCATATGGTGAGTGTCTTCACTCCATAAACCAGGGAGGTTCATTTCTTGAGATGATGGCGGAACTGAGATCAGTACTTCCCTGGTAACTTTTATTTTCATAGCCCTTTCCCAATGGGTACACATACAAACCTATAGGAGATATGTTAAAAATTAAGGATTGTAATTTCGTTTTTACATGATATAAAGAAAGAAGATACTTTCAGAAAGAAGATGCCATCATGAAGTATTGTACTCACTAGTTACATAACACAGGAGCCAATTAGTGTTTTCATTGCTAAATTTTTCATTTGAAGATTACATGTTTTTCATTTGTGTTAGGTATGTATCTGTTATCCCGTTCTTTATGCTCAATTCCCCAAACCTGCTAACTGGACACCAGAGCTCTTCAATGAACTGTGATGAATTGTGGGATTATAGTGCAGGTCTAGTTTTTCTATAATTATCTCATATTTTTCACATCTAATATAATGTAATTTTTGTTTACTTGTCTCATTCTGAGCCCATGTTTTTATTTACAGACAACAGAAGGTAAGTTTGAAGGTTACTTACTTTTCATATGATAGTTAATGTTTTGTAAACTAAAGATAGTGGGCTATCAAAGGTGAAACAGTGAAGCGTTTTTCCTAGTTTATCACATTAAACATTAACCATGCACAATACATACGATAATGGTACTATTAATTTATCAGGTAATCTATACTGAGCTACATGCAAAAACATTGTTTTGCTTAAGTTGGACTAAATACTATTGATGTATTGTTAAATCAATTAGCTAAATGTAAAGGGAGATGTTTTTGATATTTGGTTGTTCCTAGTGATATAAGATTCATGATCTTACCCAGTCAGCAAATATGTTTATTCTTAAATTCTTTTTTCAGATTTAACCTTAGAATTAAGTGATTATTAATAAATAGTTAAGTTATTCTTTCAAAGTTGATAAGGGTTTTTAATTTGAGAAATAACATGTGATACAAATCTCTAAAGATCATGATATTTTCCATAGTTACTTTCTTGATTTTATATACATTTATATAATATATATCATAATCATAATTCAAACTATTGTTTTAATAATCAACTTGATCCAAATGTTCTGAATTTGAAAGGCAAGTTCCAAAATTTATTCTGATTCTGTTCCATTCCATTCCCTACTACTTCTCTAGCATGTGGCAAACATTCACCATAATGCAGCCATGGTATTGTTATGGTACCTCCCCACTGTTAGATAACGAAAACATGAGCTGAGCACTTGTTTTCTGTTTTGCAATCCTATTACCCATCTTTTACATATTCACTTTTACAACTCCATCTTTTTTTATTCGTCAATCCATAATCTTTTGTTCATCTACATGTTGTGTACCCAGATCATTTTCTGTTTTCCTTTATGTGTTTTTCCTTTTTTTATTTAATGATGAATCTACTCCTTAATACTGATTGCTATTTACATGGAGGCTAGGCCATGTGGTACATGTTAAACAGGTGTAAAAAGCAAAAGTTCCCTGTCTAATTTGAATGTTCTATACATAACATAAAGTTATGATTTTGTGGTATTTGCAGTGGTCTTGCTTTTTGTTATAATTCCATAGCAGACAAATAATATGAAGTGTCCATGCATATTTCACCATATTTCTCTCTAAATTTTGAATAAATCATTTGAAATGATGATATTTCCATATAATTCATAGTCCTGCCAGCATGTCTGCTTATTTTAAACATTGCTGGAGCCTCTCTTGTCTCCTCATTTTGCATTTAAAAACAGACCTTGTGATAAATGAAATTTATCTAGTTGGGTACATTTGTTTAGGTTAGATAAATTGGAATAAGGCAAAAGCCTGAGATTTTGACCATGTGTAGGAAGTCTGTGACAGGATTAATCTCTTTGTTTTCTCTGGTTCTTTTCTTCTCACCTTGAATGAAATAACAGAGCAATATCAGAGCCATATCCATTATCCAATATCTAAAAATAGGGGAAGTGAATTTCAATTTTTGGTTCAATTAAAGAAAATCTGAATTGATATTTATTAGATGTCCCCAATTTCACTATTTGAAGTAAAACAGTTAACTTTGTCCTCCAAGCAAATTTTATTTTAATTTCTATTTTGTTGTATTTCGTATTAACAGGATATGAGAATTAACTTTTAAGTTTTAAGTCAAAACATCAATGAAATATTTTGATAACATTTTAACAAAGAGGACTTATAGAATGGTATTATGATAACAACTAATTCTGAGATTCAATTATTGTTCTACAATATGAATGAGTTCATTTTAACCATATAAAACTCCTTGATGGATTAAGAAGACTGATATCTAATCGTTTAATCATTCCTCTTGAACCAAAAGTTAAAAATGTTAGCAAATCAGAGCTTCCACAAAATTTATGTTTGATGGAAAAATTTGCTCTCAATCTGATCTGTTTTCACTATAGAGCATACGAGGGTTATCAAAAATTTCAAGACTTTTTGGACAACCCTCGTATATACAGTTTTAGTCGTAGCTGACTGAGATCAATTAGCTTGAGTCAGAGTTAAAGATGAAACTGTCACTTGAGGATAAATTGACCAAAGTAAGTCAACCCTAAGTTAAACCTGAATCTCAACTCTTGGTCAAGTAAACTGTTGCAACTTGGTCATGTGAAATCCACCTTTAGTCAAGTCAGCCCTAAGTTAAGCCTAAAGGTTTCCTTAAAGTCAGCCCTAAGTTAAGCCTAAAGGTTTCCTTAAAGTCAGCCCTAAGTTAAGCCTAAAGGTTTCCTTAAAGTCAGCCCTAAGTTGCCTAAAGGTTTACATTAGTCAAGTCAGCCCTAGATTAAGCCTAAATGTTTACTCAACTCACACAGTAAAGTTAGCACTTAGTCATGTCCCTTAATTAACCCAACCTTTAGTCCATCTCATCTCAACCCTTATTAAAGCCAACCTATAGTCAGGTCAAGCCAGAATCATCTCAACCCAGAATCATCTCAACCCAGAATCATCTCAACCCAGAATCATCTCAACCCAGAATCAATTCTTGGAACGTTTGCTTTCTTTCATGATACTAGTTCTCATGACAAACATCTCCCATCTCTGTCTATTTAATATCAACTATTACAGACTTAGAATTTGTTCTTTGATGATCAGACAATATCCCCCCTCATAGGGAAATTAATAGCAAAGATATTTTAAACTTTGGCCTTTTTAACTGTTATTCGATTTTTGTTATATGGTACATATTCAAGGCGACAATATTGTAATTTTACAAAATAAGTATTAATTAATCGTTCTATCATGCACGCAATAGTTTTTATTAAACGATAGTAGTACTTGAATTATGTTATTTATTATTAATATTTGGTATAGGTTCCATTGGATCCATGAACTCTGTTCCTTTTATATTCAATAGAACCATACATATACACAGTAAAGTTAACACTTGGTCATGTCCCTTAATTAACCCAACCTTTAGTCCATCTCATCTCAACCCTTATTAAAGCCAACCTATAGTCAGGTCAAGCCAGAATCATCTCAACCCAGAATCAATTCTTGGAACGTTTGCTTTCTTTCATGATGGTTCTCATGACAAATATCTCCCATCTCTGTCTATTTAATATCAACTATTACAAACTTAGAATTTGTTCTTTGATGATCAGACAATATCCCCCCTCATAGGGAAATTAATAGCAAAGTTATTTTAAACTTTGGCCTTTTTAACTGTTGTTCGATTTTTGTTATATGGTACATATTCAAGGCGACAATATTGTAATTTTACAAAATAAGTATTAATTAATCATTCTATCATGCACGCAATAGGTTTTATTAAACGATAGTAGTACTTGAATTATGTTATTTATTATTAATATTTGGTATAGGTTCCATTGGATCCATGAACTCTGTTCCTTTTATATTCAATAGAACAGTCATCAATACCACCAGCATATCAATAAATAAACTGAACAAATAATTGGTCTCCTTTGCTTTTTATTGTTAGGATTTTTCAAAAAAGAAAAATGAAAAGTTTATAACTGTTGCTTAGTTTGACATTCAATCTATTAATATCAAGTCTTGTAGCATGCCCCTAAACTCTTTCTAACAAATGGTTTAATGTTAAGATAGAATGGGGGGGGGGTGCAGGGGGTTGATACAAGACTTTCAAATCACTGAAATAAGTATTTAGTCCCTTCTTAAAACCTATAAAATATTAGTTCTAATTTAAAGAGTAAGGGTGAAGTCAAGTACTTGTGGGTATAAACCTCCTCTGCCATTCTTTGCAATTGTTGGATCATTGAATCATGGGATCTAACTCTCTAGCATTTCCTTGATTGAGTGCA